AAGGTTGGAATGATAGCCGTTTCCACATGTTTGTTCATTCCAATAATGTGTTACTGCCATCCTGATTGTTTGTAGATTTTTAATCTAACTATTTTATATGAAGGAGACACCGGAGATTAACTCATAGTTTATTAATGTCGCCATATAAACGTCCTTTTCTCGCCTCGCTAACATCGATTGAACCGAGCGATATCATCTATTGGCTCAAAATTTTGCCGTAAAAACGATGGAAATCCAATAGGTGGTCATTATCATTGTTCGTAAGCAGGCTATTAAACGTCGATTCCTCACATATCAGATTCGTCTTTAACCTTAATTTGTCTTTAACATTTTGTCATACTTTGCATGCACTGTCTGAAAATGTACAAAACAAATTCAAGAAAACTGATTAATAATAAACATTTCTATTTTTTATTTCCAATTAACACCCAATTATACACATTTTTTCTTTATGAAAATAAAGTTAATAAATTTAATAATAATATTATAGTCATTAAAATTGTTTTTGGATCTAGAAGAAGGCATTTGTTCGAAATTAAAGGAGAGTTACTTTAACTCGGGCGGTAAAACGCACCTCTCCTTCCTAGTTTCGGATGAAAATGTAATAATATGCTGTGTTTTTACAAGGACTATACCCATTCATCTATGTCTTTTGTGTTTGAATACATGTAAAGGAGATTTCAGGTGGACTATATCGTATATATCCTTTCTCAGTGACCAACCACTCCATAAAGTCTCCTCGATATTATGTTGGGGTTTTTTTTTTTAGATCTGTACCTGGTATTGTACTGTATGTGTTTCATTCCAGTATCGTTTGTTTTGTCTCAATTTCCTTGCATTACTTATTAAGGCATTCTAAAATTATAATTAAAGTGAACCATTTGGAACTAATTATGTCTGTCTTCAAATTGGAAACCGATAAGCATTAATTAACGATATGAAGAAAAAAATAAATTCGAATAACATTGAAAAATATTGTTTGAAATTAATGAAGCTAACGTTAAAAATTTAAAAAAATAACTCACAAACTAAATTGAGGCAGGGGGAGCTGGAAGCGGGTAGGTGGGGTGGGGGGTATAACGTATTCATATCTGATGATATACATTCTTCAAATTGTCTGATCTTTATGGTTCTAGTTAAGATAATTTGGCGTTGGTCTGTTAAATGTATTCATCAGAATTCCAAACAGGAGATTGGATATATTTTGATGAATATAATTTAATATATGTAATTTTACTGTGCCCTTTAGAAAACATCCGTAAAAATACACAGCGCTTCCCAATATGTCCCAACTCTCGAAAAATAATTTACTGTCATAATTTAGGCATGATTATAAACACTGAACTTTCTTCTAAATGAGTCGGTCCCAAATCAATATCTGTAATTCTTGTGTTGTTAATCCTACTTGATGTTTTTATTCAAACTAAACGGGAAACCCTGGCGGGCAATTAATCTGTTTGGGTTCATTTAAGCTAGTTGAGAGAGTGTGTAAAGCCTCGTTATTAGATAAAGTAATAATTACGTATAAATATTTAATGTTTCGATTTCCTTGTGATTTGTAACAAGATTTGTAATAGTCATGTTTTATGGTATACATCATCCTGCACGACATTTTCTAATAAATAAAGATTGTTATAGAAACATTATTTGCCATTACTTCTAAGGCGGGTTTGGCAACATGACAGGTTTTGCCTATCTGTCCCCAGCGTTCGGTACGTCAACATCGGATGGAAACGGGTTGTCTCCGAATCAGACATATCAGACCCTGCATGTTGTTACGACATGACACACCAGTCAGCTCGGGATTATTTTTGGAAGTATGTCTATAATAATCATATTTGGGTCAGATCAAAAATACCCCTACCTCTTACGGGCGGAAATCATACACCAAATTCAAAATTCAAAATTAACATTTTTCAGCAGTGCTAGAAAAGAAAAACATAATGTAGTTTTTTCCTACTGAAGAAGAATATGTTGCAAGGAAATTTGGACGGACGGATTTCCATTTAAAATGATTTCAGTTCTTGTTAGGGTTACGGATGGTATCAAATGAATTTACTTGAATGCCAATTACGAAATTAAGTTTTTATATAGAGAATCTCCTACGAGTCTTTTTGGTATCAAAAAATATCAACACAGGTCGATAATGTAAACGAGAAAGTCATATTTGTAGAATAATAAAATCATGTATATTACGTTCTAAATAATGTGTTGTCAAAGTTATCTCACATCTGTTACGAACGGAATTGCAATTGTGGATAGTGTTTAAGCGTTGTATTAAGCCAAATTCGTCATTATATTTGACCTGGACCATGTCTGTCACCAATATGTTATATTATGCGAGTATATTTTTGGTAAAACTTGGGGGGAGGGGGAGGGGGGAACTTGTCCTAATGATGCCTTACTGCAATTTCAACATAAAGTAAACGCAGGAGCTAATTATAATAATGTAAATGGGATGACTTGACAATGTCTTATATACCAGGTTAATCGGTTTAACTCCGGCACTTACTTTATAATGACGGGACAAAACCTAAAATGAACAGTTTTATTTAAATGCAAACATTATCTTGACCAGTTATCAAAAAAGCACCTCTTTTAAAGTTTTTATTCGTACTCGTTTATATCTGAAACTTAAATCATTCACACCAGCTGGCACGGAACAGTGTCTAGTCATACGACAGGGACAAAAACGAGGCCCTCTGTAAAAGAACCCCTGATAGTTGGAATTCGAAAAGGAGGTAGGCTGTCGCATAGATCATAGCACACTTCATGGCGTATGCACTTTTTCATTAGTACGGTTGGGTGTTAAAGATACATTCCCGCGTACAAACTTTGTGATTTGATGATATATTTGGACTAAAATCATATTCAAAGTAACCAGTCTATCAAAAATTTGCTTCAATTCCCTCTCAAAACTTTGTATTCGCCGGGGATACTTATAGCTTTAAGTAAGCTGTTGTTAGACGCAATATCTGTCAACTTAGCTTCATTGTGGGAGGGTCCATTTTTCAGAATGTATTTATCATTACTTACTGTACATTTACCATACATATTGAGGCCTAAGTAAATTCTTAATTATGTCTGTCAACTTCATTTTCCGCCGTTTATATGCAGAGTCTTGTACGTTGACACCCCCCAATGTTCCCAAAACCGCCTAACCATTTGATCAAGAAATAACAACCGCTCCCTCACTTAGGCTGGCACACAATAAGCTGGCAGATAACAGTCGGGTTGCCAGTTAGTGATACCCTGACAATTTTGCCGAGTGCTTGCCCCATGTGCGTTTTATTGAAAATAACCACCCGATAAATACTTTTCTGGGAAAGTATCTTTAAACCCCATTTCAATTCATTTCCTATCTGACTGGTTTAACAACCCCTTTTAATATCTGAGCCCTTCTTTATTTTGAATGAAGATTGTAAAGAAACGATATGTGGAGATCAAGTCTTCATTTCTCAAGTCATATAAATCGGTCTTGGTGTTGTTTTCGCAGAGAAAATCCAACAGTGCTGCGTTTGATGCATGCCTCGAATATGAAATGATTTTTAAAATTTCATTTTGTAATTTATCCCAATAGTACTATTACGTTGAAATGTATTCATTTGCAACCGCCCGAATCAGCATAATGTTTCGGAACCTTAATCAGATATTAAGCTCCGAATTTTAGAAAATAAATACTTAACACTTTACGGCTATTTCATGCCAGCAACTGCTCATTATTTTTGTCATTTTATCAATAATGACAGCGCACCCACCATGACAAAGACATATAACGCACCCACCCTGACATTGACATATAACACACCACCCTGACAATAACATGTAACGCATCCACCCTGACGCCGACAAATAAATCACCACCCCGACAATAACGTTAACACATAATCCTGACAATGGGTCAATTCAAGTCCCGGGTTACACTTGTGTTAAGGTTGTGTTGTAGTGGTGTATAACTGGTGTTCTTTTTAGTGCCTTAACCTGAGCCCCTCGATTTAACACTTGTTTACACCAGTGTCTAAACTAGTTTAATACCAGTGTTAACACTGGTGGAAAATAAAACAACACCTATAAAACTAGTGTTATTTTTAAATGTTACACAATTGTTTTTGCTTCTGTTCTAACGCTTTCAATTCTTTGCATGAGCTTGCAACACCAAAAGAAAGGTAATTGGGGAAGTTAAGTAACCCCTAGGGGAGTGGTATAGTTATTTTTAACAAGATAATAACTTTTATCAAGTTATTAATATCTAACAAGTTTTTAAGTAATTAGAAATAATATTGCACACAGCTCCTTGTCTTTATATTTTTTTCATGTAAATTTGTTTCTTAAATCGGGAAATTGATATTGAAAATATAGACAAACTGAGGGGCTCAGGTATAAGTTAGTGTTTGGGTAACACAGTTAGTCACTGGTGTTCATGTTGTGTAAATATATCCATGTTTAACACGACCTCAACACCACAGACCTTAACTCGGATTGATTTCAAATACAGAGGGGGGGGGGGGGGGTTCTGAGCTTGAGTTAGCACAGCGTTACACCAATGCTACACTGATCTAACTGGCGATAAACAGGACTTGAAGTGACCCAATTATAACGCATCCACCCTGACAATGACATGTAACGCATATCCTAGCTGACAATGACATGTAACGCACAATCCTGACGATGACATTATAACGCATCGACCCTGGCAATGACATGTAACGCACAGTCCTCACAATGATATGTAAGGACTTATCCAATTAAAAGGTGATTATGTGGCTGGCTACATATATTTTAAAAAATTAATTAATAACCTTTCATTTCCTTTGTGGTAAGGACATCAGACGAATGGCTAGATATTGTAAGTGATAAATTTTTGATTTTGATAACATGAACTGTCAAGTATGTGTGGTTTAATGGTCGAGATCGAGACATTAAAAGTAATATATTGAAACAAGTGTAGGCACTTGTGACTTTGTGGCATCATCCTCTACTTAATTATAAAACAATTGAAATTCACTACCTAATTCTTTAATACATAATATGCATGTGAACTACAAGATGAAAAATGCCAGCACTCTAATGTGCAAATTCTTAAAATTGTAAAAAAACATAATCTGCAATTGGATTGTGATCAGCCATTCAGAAATTATTTTGGACAGAATAATGCAGGGGAGACTACTCCATTTTAATGCAAAATAACCGACGTTTAGTAATGTTACGTGAAAGGTGTCATTGTTAGGAGAGTATGTTCTAAAGATATATTCGTCCTCATAATTACTTAACAAATGGCAATGCATGTAAAATGTCTTTATAATAAATACTTTTAATAAACATTATCTTAAAATATAATACAATACTAACTGTCTAACAGCACTAAATCTACTTTCAGTTTATGAAAAAAGAAAATAGGTCAACAGAAAATAAATATGAAATTCATTAACAAACAAATACAAATTCTCCTTAATAAATATGCCTATGTACAATTATTGTTCACAACAATACATCAATTGATTTATAGCATACATTTAGAAAAAACACTAATATACATGTAATCACCATCAAGAAAATAGGTTAAATTAAACAAAGGGGCCTTAATATTATATGTGCTGACCGTTGAAAGTGAGGTACTATCCAACAAAACAATTAACGGTTCTCAATGAGAGGGAATTTACGCTGTTTTAACAGTTGGACCATAGTATATAAAATACAGTTCTTTGTGTAACATAAATTACAATGTGACCACATTCTGAATACATAACTTTATGCCGAAAAACCATCCTGTCACACCATTGCGAATTTTGTCTATGAATGTCCACAATGATTTACCACAATACAGAAACTTTGTACATTTCATTACAATTGTGATAAAAAAACCAATTACAACTGTGATAAGAACCAATTACAACTGTTCAAGCCGATTCCGCACATATATGCCAATCAATCAAGAAGATCACACAAAAACAATTGTAAAGCTTTATATCCATGATTATCCAATATGTTAATATCGCCATAGGGTGACAGGAAGTACCTCTCTTTAATTTTGTTTCTTATCTGTGTAGGAATATGGAAAATTACCAGGGTTCATTCTCTCATGAATGCTTCACACCAAATTTGAAAATAAGCCATTAAAAATTGCGGCCTCTATCACGTTCATAACGAGATAGGGAGACAACATATAATATGCCCACACTGAAATGTGGGCACATAAAACAGTTTCTGTTCATAAAGTTTCTAATAAACCGTAAAGGTCAGTTGTTTTATCTTGGTTCCCTGTCTATGTGCTAATTCTTCTAATGCTATTCTTGCTTGTTCTATAATAAATTTTAAAATACAAATTTAAGATTAATTGATTCCAAAATATACTGTATTTTCAATGATCTAAAAAATCCATTTCATAATGCCAACTAAATGAGAAAAAATTAAATGTTAAAGATGCCTTCCTACGTACAAACTGTGTGAATTTATGATATATTTTAACTAAAAACATATTCAAAATAATTTATCTATCAAACATTTGCTCCAAATCTCCCTCACAAAATAATTTAATCAAAAAACCCCCCAAAAAACTGCGCCAAGCTGTAAAAGTCTATTGAAGGGAGGATCTATTTTTTTCGCTTGTATTTGTCATTACCTGCTGTCTATTTACCATAAATATCGCAGTCTAAGTAAATTTGTGGATTATCATCTGTCAAGTTATTTTTCTGTTGTTTAATAGCAAAGTCTGCAGTACTTAAAAGTCCCATTGTTCTCACAGTTAGTTATTCTATCAACAAAACGAGCCCTCCCTATGTCATTCAAACAGACAGCAATCAGACAGGCTGCCCGTTAGTAATCCCCATACATTTATGTCCTGGATGTCTTTCTGGAAATCCAGTATTTTTCTATTGGGTGTCTACCAAATTTACATACTTTTATTGGAAATAATTAAAAAATGCACTAATTGCTAACAAGTGGATTGAGTAGCTACTTTTAATGACTGTCAATACCCAAAAAACTAATGTGAACAACTAGGACAAGGCCAAAAGCTGTAAATCTGATGTAGGCAAAAAGAAGAGGTTATTGAAATAGAAATTAAATCTATAGTGAATAGGTTTATAAGTTAAAACTGGTAAGTGAAATACTTGTTCATGATTTGATTTTCTTTTTTCTTTGATTTTGTTTAATGCCTTAAATTTGTTGAACACCAGTTACTTTTATATCTTAATAGAATGAGTTATACTGTGCAAATGCTTTACCATATGGCATAGAACAAATTTCTAGATATACAAGAAAAATCTAAAAGAATTCACTTTTTATCACGTCACCTCTGTTTGTTATTATATTTTGTCCATCACAACCATGGTTTTAGCTGTCACGAATAATGAACACTGGAAACTTTGTTAAAGGATAGATCCTTTTATATCGCCATGGAAGGACTATATCAATTGAGCTTGCTAGCCATTAAATATTTGAAATGAAATTAGAAATATGCTGGGGAGCCTGGGGTCTAAAAGCATTTTTATATTTTTGTTTTTTGATTCAAAGATGGAAATTCAAAACTAACCTGTCATTTTAGGGCAACCATGGAATATTAATATAGAAATTTGTTTACAGCACTGAGTAACACCTTCTACAGCTTCATCTGTTAATTCTATACAACTACTTATATCTAATTCCTTACAAAATAAACAAGATAGACAAATATAAACAATCTCTTGTGTTATTTACAGATATTAAAACATAGATATGACGTCACCCTTTGATGTTTTTTAACCAGTATTTAGGATAATGTGCGCTTTTCTTAAACAATCGTCTATTATTTATAAAACTGTCCATTATTTATTGAATAATGGACAGTTTTACTAATAATAGACGATTTTGGGATGTATTTTGGGATTTATTCGGTGAACAAATTAAATTACAGAGAGAGAGAGAGAGAAATGGGGTTTAACGTCCACTTGACACAAACTAGGTCATTTCGGGACTAACACATGGTTCAATTTTATTTCAATAACTCGCTTGCACGTAGGGGTCTTTAGCTGTGGGAGGAAACCGGAGGACCCGGAGAAAACCCATGAGGTTGGACAGGCTTAAATTACAGTGCATAAAATTACTCATAGTTATCGAAATGTCACATGACCAAATGTTGAATTAATGTGTTTGTCCATGTGTAGAATTTACACATTTACGCGACTTTTGGTTTCTTTCCTCCATAAAGAATTCCATTTAAATCCGCCTGTTGTATGTCACTGGTCTGTTTATAAGTATGTTCGACACTTGAACGATGACACAATTTATACGTCCACATGAAAATGTGGACGTATATATTGACGTTGTCTATGTCTGTCCGGACATCATCCATCCGTTCACATTTTGTTTGTGGACACCCTACAGGTTATAACTTGAAATATAGTTTATATCCCAACAATCTCGGTTCCTTTCGATAGTTGGCTTGTATGGGACTGTAACTTCATGGATTATAGCCCCTGATTTTACACACTAGCGGTCACAATTTTTTCCCATTTTGATGAAACGGAACATGTATGTTTATAACCCAAAGATCTCGTTTCTTTGCAATTTGGGTACAAATCGGACCCTAAATTCCTGGATTATGGCCCCTGATTGAACAAAAAAACGTGTTTCAGCTTATCCAACCTACACAAGTCACAAATTTTATCCGATTTTAAAAACTGTTACACATAATGACGGTTGAGTTTGAATTGGTTTGTGCCCTTGATCCTGTACTGTGTCACTGTCACTTATAATTTGGATGGCTAGTACCCTCCATATATTAACCACAATACTAAAAATATTATCAATATCTAAATCATTTTCGTGAGCATCCTTTCAATCACAACTTTGACGACTATTATCGCCCATAATAAGAATATCACAATTTTTACGGCTACTATCTTCCATATCGAGTAGGCCTACATCACCAAATGTAATCAGTATCCAAATGCTTATCACAAATATTCTCATCATTAATATTTGTTTTCGACTGTGTTATAAACATGTCTCCATATTTTGGATTGTCTGTGTATGCTTGCATTATATGGCTGGAGTGTTTTGTCACATGCATTCATGTGCATGTTGTTTTAAGAATCTATCCATTATTTTTGTGGCATGTTCGTTCAGTTGTTCTTTCTATTTACATAATGGACAGTCTTCGGCCATTACCCATCATTTAAATGACTAATATTAAGGACTAAATTCCTAACCCTCGTCTTATGATACCAAACCTAATGCGATATTCTTTTAAAAATGTAGATGTGAAAATCACCACTTTAACAACAAGTGGTGATTTTTGTAACATCCACATTTTTGCAATATTTGTACCTGATCTGAAATGCACAATGAAAATTGAACATACAATCACAAATCTAACTTTCTAACCACTATAATATTTCCAGCTCTCTCTCTTTCAAAGTCACCTTCCGTTGTTTAACTCATCTAAACTGGGTTATTTGTAACAATTTCCCTTCTTATAAAAATTTATAAATTATCATAATTTTAATTAAAATATTTTAAAACTGATGGTCTACTATTGTCTTCAGGTCTGCTTATCAAGCTAATTATATAACATATAATCTCAATGTCTACAATCAATCATAATGACAGACATCTACATCTCATCTCCAGATAGGATCCAAGAGTGAAAGATATCCAGTGCTTCAGAGAATAAATAGTATATAAAGACAGATCATATATAATGGGGGTGTCAAAATGTGTGCTAAATCTGGTCCTGTACATTTCATCACAGGCCTTGACCTTTACAGGAAGTAAATGATTTACTTTCACAGTGTATGTCTAAATGACAGTAATATTGAAGCCAATATATGTTTTACCTTTAATGTGTTTTTACAGTCACCACTAACTAATCTGTAAACACCTTCATCTGTTATCTATAATAATTCACAAAAACATTTAATTATTTTCTTATAGCACATTTATATACTGGTGATAAAGTGATACATATGCGTGGGTGGGTTTGATAATGTACATTGTTTATAAAACCATTTATTAAAATAAAAACGATAAACCAGGGATTATAATTCCTCTAACACCCCTGACTTGTCAAGTCGTGGGCAAGGTGTCAATCTAATTAAAATACAGATCTATATTTCGTTTCGTTTTTTATACTTTCGATTGCCTACACTACATGTAGATCTAACAAGTTTAAATGGGGAGTTCACGTCAGGCGTCAGAATCGATCGATGTTGCAAGTGGCTGCTTTGCTTTGTTTTGATTTCTATCGCTGCTAATTTCTACCCACAGTCCGCGCAAAAAAAATCAAGCACTCGATTCGACAGACCATTTGATTGGCTGACCCCTCATTTAAAGCAGAACACGAGTTAAATAACAAGCCTTCCAGATCCTAGTGTAGTAAAGACAAGCAAAACAAAATTTATGAACTATTAAAACAAAACAAAATAGGATCTGTGTTTTAATCAGATTGGCGTGGTGTATAAGTCTGTTATACACTATATTCACATTACATGTGTACATTTAAAAATAAATCCATAGTGTCCAAATGTCGGTTTTTAATACTGCCACTGCATCAAGGCAGCAGCTTAGTCATCTATGCTATCTACAAAGGCTCACCAAATACCATGAGATGGTTGTTATTTTATTCAAATAAATGAGATATATCTACCTGAGTCATCGATACATTTAAAGATGATAAAAATGATAGATTATCTGCAATAGTTATCATTGATCTATCAGTCAGTTGCGTACAGCCTCGTAAATTCAAGTGTTGTAAATGTCGACAATTTGTTGTTAAAGCGATAACACCATCATCTGTTATATTATCACACTTTCTCAAAAACACTATCTGCAGATGTGGACAAGACTGAGCTAAACTTCTTATACCTGGAATTTATATAATAATAAATAATGACCTCTGTTAATACATCTCACGAACATAACCAGAATCATAAAATAAAAGAAATTTGGGACAGATAAACTTAACCCTTTTTCTATGGGGAGAGAGAAAGACGTTTATGCTATATTGGGCATGCATTTAGTAAAAATTTGAGTATAAGGTATTAGCAAGAGCTTCACAACTGACCATGCAAACATGAAGGTCAAAGTATTTGAGATGTTCATAAAGATTTCCAGTCATTCTTTGGTTACTATTAGTAATTTACAGTGGAAAACTACCAAAATTGAGGGAGGATTAATTTTTTGTAGAGATGGCTTGGTAACTGAAAATGTCAACATATTCCATAGGCTAGGGTTTGCTGGGGTTTTTTTGGGTTTTTTAAAAAAAAAAACAACAAAAAAATTTGCTTGCAATTTACAACCAATCCATACATGTGCTGTATCATGTGCTCAATCTTAGTAACTGATCAAAATGGTGTTATTTCAGGAAGAATGTTTAAAACATGTGGCATTAGCTGTGTTCGTTGAGGAAGAGTATAATCAATTGAGGAACAAAACAAGAGACAGAGAAAAAAATGGGGTTTAACGTCCATTCAACACAAACTAGGTAGTTTCGGGACTAAAACATAATATAATTTTATTTCAATAATTCAGTTCCGTGTAGAGGTCTTTAGCAGCGGGAGGAAACCCACAAGGTTGGACAGGGGACCCTACTCCTTGTCACGTACAACCGGGGAATCTAAACCATGCCAGTTGACTCAATGACAGACCTTATGATACAGCGCGCATGTGCTAACCATTCGACCATCCAACCCCCTGGAACACAACAAATGTGGGCTAGACGTTCTCTTTTGATGTACAGAACTTCAAGAAGCGATCTTTAAAAATGAACAGGAATTTTGATTGCCAAGTCAAAGATATGATATGAAGTACGATGTCGTCGAATATAAAACAATTTGATTTGTATGATGAATTGGTCGGATACAACCACTCCATCCAACGTTTGTATGGCTTGATTGTATTCATGTAACAGGGTCATATTTTGGGACTCTGTCAATTAATGTTGGTGAAGAATGTCCTGATCAGTGTCTTGATTGTTGGAAGTTTTTAATAAGTGAGTTTATAGTTTTGGTTGTGAGATAATGTAAATTCATTAAAATGTTTTGGGGGATGGATTTTCAGTTGTATGGGTCTGGAATTGTATTGTCCGGATTATGGTGTTTTATTTTAGTGGTTGAAATGTCTTAGTTCTTATATGGGTTTACTTTTAATATTTTTTGGTATAGTTGAAAGGATAACTCGTTGGACTCTTTATAGTTCTGAAGGTGGTCTCTTTCTGAAATATTGTTTATCAGGTGATTAGTAATTCTTTGTCCTGGTTGGTTATTCAGAAGTTTAGCTGGGATAAAACTAAATTACACGCATGCATCAGTACCACATGTTACAGATTTAGTGAAGGTCAATACCGGCTCTTTTCCACAAATGGGTAAGCTATTTAATTTAACTTTCTTGTAATAGATGACTGCAAGTGGACTGTGAGTTTCATGAGTGTTTGATATATAATTATATATGTAATTCAAATACTGTAAGGTAAAAATTGTAGGATGTGTAGCCAATAGAACTGTTGGTTACGAATATATGGATAATGGCAACTATTGTATTTTCAGGGCCAACTTGTCGAGCATAAATGTATTTTGTGTTATAGTTATGTGTAGTACCAACAGAAATGGTGTTTAATGGTTATGGTGAATTGAAATACATCTAGATCGACCAACATCGACTACGCGCTTACGCGTTTCATTTAATTGTTTTAAACTGTATCATGTGTCGTTTGTGGATTATATAAACTTATTTAAACCTTATCGTGTTGTCAATCAAGAAATCTATTTTCCCGAACTAAGCAGGTTCAATCTATCAACTTTACCACACCATTGCAGGTGATGGAAAGGGTAGGTCTGCAATAATGGAGGCACCAGGGGGAGTAGATTTTCTTGGTTGTACCAGTAACAAGTTGAACTGTTTAGTTTTCAATTAACTTATCGTTAGACTTTAAAGTGAATCCGATGGCGTTTAATTACTGACATTCAAATTTATATGCACATTATCATCAAGCTTGAATTCTCGTGACTTTGTGACAGTGTTTAACCACTGGAACTGAAATTATAACAGATTCTGGATGAAGATTGGAACTGTGTAACAGTGAATATTGAACATTAATATTATGAACTATTGATTAATTTAGTGTTAATTTGATTAATTTAGTGTTAATTTGTTTGTTTTCATTTATTTTTAGTGTCGGTAAACCTGGTATGTATGGTTGTAAGTATGGATGTTGACAGCACTAATAAATAAATAGGTCAAGTTTAAATAAGTTAGGGCATAAAATTCCGTAACTATTGATAATCTTAGAACATCATTCAATACACATTGCATTATACTAAAATATATAACAGTTATCCCAGTAACACTATAACTTGTATTGTCTTTATTTTATCAACAGTGGAGTTTTTTTTATGTAGAGTTTAGAGTAGTTTGGTCAGTTGATTGGTTTGAATATGTCGGAGGAAGAAGTTGTGGTCTTGGGTAACACACTAAGAAAGTTGGGTCTTTTTCCAAAGCGTATAGGTAAGACTGAAGATGACGTTGCTGAGTGGATGGAAGATGTTTTGAAATCTAAAGGTAAGTGGCCGGTTAAATCGGATGATGAAACAGAGTCGTCTACTAAATCAAGACCACCAGTTAATCCGATGCCGAAGTTGTCAATGTTTTATGGTGAACCAGGAAAAGGTGAAGTTAGTTACGACCTTTGGAGATACGAAGTAGATTGTTTAATTTCAGAAGGTGTATATGATAACCATGTAATACTGTTGGCTATTCGCCGATCACTTAAAGGGGAGGCCGGTAAGGTTATAATGCGGTTAGGTCCGCATGTTGATGTTAAAACTGTCTTAGCCAAATTGCATAGTGTTTACGGTACATGTGAAGAAGCAGAATCTTTAATCGGACTCTTTTACAGTGCTAAACAATATCCATCTGAAACGGTTACAGATTGGGCATGCCGGTTAGAAGATATATTCGCAAGAGTAACTCGAGAGGGTAGTCCAGATCCTAAAGAATCCGATGAGACATTAAGGAATGTATTTTGGCGTGGATTGTTGCCACACTTACGTGATTTGTCTGCTCACAAATATGATAAATCAACAAGTTTCGACACACTACGTGTTCAACTTCGCCGTATAGAGCATGATGTTAACCAACGAAACTTATCAGCGAGTACCGCTACTTCGAAGCCAAATCCTTTTAACATGATACATACAAAGTCTTCTAATTCTGAATTTCAGGAACTTAAAGGGATAGTTCACAGTATTTCTTCACAAGTTAGTGGATTGAAGGATCAAGTTTCGCAATTAGCTTATAAAGTTGACAGACCTAAGGTTCCACGATGGCAGTCACAAGGAAATGATTCAAGAGGTGAGATGTCAAATAATTTTAGTAGTAATAACCGGGATAATCGGCGTAGTAGTCAAGGACCGGGACCCAAGTGTTGGGCTTGTGGTCAGTACGGTCATATTAGGTTGGGTTGCAGAGCAGCATTTAACCAGAATCGTTCTTTAAACGTTCACAACCTCAGGCCAAGGGAAGCGCCCTGGGGTACTCCACGCAGAGACTTCCCAGAGCGACGTTGAAATCGAATTTTGTAGTTGGTGAACCTAATGAAGCCAATGTTAAAGTTGAGGGAAATTGTTGTACTGCACTTTTAGATACTGGATCAACTGTGTCTACTGTAAGTGAAGAGTTATATAATTCTAAATTAAAACATTTACCTTTACAACCGCTTAAAACTATGTTGGATATAGAATGTGCTGATGGTAAACCATTGCCGTATAAAGGATATATTGAAGCAGATTTACAGTTTTCAGAATTGACAGATGAAACAATAACTTGTATTTTATTAGTAGTTCCGGTGAGTAGATATAATTCATTGGTTCCGGTTTTACTTGGAACAAATGTATTGACTCTTCTGATGAAACAATGTAAAGATGAACATGGGAAATCTTTTCTCCAAAAAGCGAAATTAACCACTTCTTGGTATTTATCTTTTCGTAGTATGGATTTATCAGAAAAAGAATTAGTCAAACGAGATTTCAGTTTAGGAATAGTGAAAAGTGCCTCAGTCAATAGGATACTAGTTCGTCCAAATTCTCGTATAACGTTACCATGTTATGTTGATAAAAGGTTACGATACCCGAAGGTGTCGGTGATGGTACACCCATGTCAACGTTCCAGTATTTCATCTGATTTAGATGTTTCTCCATCCATAATGATGTATGATTACAATAATACAGATTATATTTCAGTTAACGTTTCAAATGTGTCTACAAATACTATTGTTATTTCACCCAAAGCTATTGTGTGTGAACTACAGCCGGTAAATATTGAAGATAACGAAGTTACTTCAGATGGATCCAATGCCTCGGTCTTAAATAAAGTAGAAATTGACGAAAGCGATTTATCAGAGGAAGAGATAATTCAAGGTAAGAACCTGTTGTTAAGTTTTGACGATATTTTCGCACATAATGATCTGGACTTGGGACATACATCCAGAGTACAACACAGAATTGAACTTATAGATGAACAACCGTTTAAGCAACGGCACCGCCGTATACCTCCATCGATGTTTACTGAAGTAAAAGATCATTTAAAGCAGTTGTTAGCATGTGGTGTTATAAGAAATTCACATAGTCCATGGGCATCAAACGTGGTACTTTGTCGTAGAAAGAACGGTAAATTACGCATGTGCACTGATTTCAGACAATTGAATAATAGAACGATCAAGGATTCGTACGCTCTTCCCAGAATTGATGAGTTATTGGATCATTTAGCAGGTAACAAATTTTATTCAAAGTTAGATATGAAGTCCGGATATTACCAGGTCGAAGTTGCCGAAGAACATAAGGAGCGTACCGCTTTCACAATTGGTCCGCTTGGTTTTTATGAGTATAACAGACTTCCTTTTGGTCTTTGTAATTCTCCCGCGACGTTTCAGAGGCTTTTAGAAGATTGCTTAGGAGATCTTCATTTGACGATATGTGTAGTGTATATTGATGATTTGATTATTTTTGCAGATTCATTCGAGGAGCATCTACAGCGCTTAAATAAGGTTTTAGAGCGTTTACGTCAGTGTAATTTAAAATTAGCACCTGATAAATGTAGTTTCTTTAAAAGACGTGTAAACTATGTTGGACATGTTATCTCCGAAGCGGGTATTGAACCAGATCCAGAGAAAATTGAGGTGATCCAAAAATGGCCACGCCCATTGAATTCTGTCGAGGTAAGAAAATTTCTTGGATTTGCTGGTTATTATCGTCGTTTTGTGAAAGATTTTTCGAAAATATCAAAACCTTTATCTATTTTGATGCCCACAACGGGTAAGAAAAATAAAAGTAATGTTTCCGTCAAGTGGAAGTGGGATATTGAGCAGGAAAATGCATTCTGTGAATTAAAGGATCATTTGTGTAGTTCTCCAATTCTTACAAGCTGTGACTATACGTTACCATTCGTTTTACATATTGACGCTTGTCAAACTGGTCTGGGTGCAGTTCTTTATCAGAAACGAGATAATTTATTGAAAGTTGTGGCTTACGCGAGCAGAAGTGTGAATAAATCGGAACAAAATTATTCTGCTCATAAATTGGAATTTTTAGGGTTAAAATGGGCCGTTACAGAAAAGTTTCATGATTATTTGTATGGGAACAAGTTTGTGGTGTATACCGACAATAATCCATTAACCTATATTTTGACTTCCGCTAAATTAGATGCAACAGGTCATAGATGGCTCGCCGCTCTTTCTGCGTATGATTTTGAAATAAAATACAGACCCGGGAAAAATAATTTGGACGCCGATTTATTGTCAAGATTACATAAAGAATCGGAATATATTTCACATGAACAGGTACATGTAATTTGTAATTCTATTCAGCCGAGTAATTATGCCGAATGTTTAAGTATATCACCAGAATTAGTGCCGGAGGTAAATTTAGGTCTAAATGGTATGACACCACGTGATTGGAGAAAGGAACAAGCAAAAGATGCCTCTATATTGTCTATTCTTAAATATTTAAGGTCGGGAATAAAGCCATTTGACAAGGAGTTCAACAAAGAGGTCCAAGTATTATGTCGTCGTTTAGAACACTTAAAGCTGAAACAGGGAGTTTTATATCGATCTGTGGAACATGAAGGGGAGATAATTGAACAACTCGTACTTCCAGGTCATTATAGGAAATTAGCATTTCAGGCTCTTCACGATGATCTTGGTCACATGGGTAGAGATAGAACTATGGTATTAATGAGGGAACGATTTTATTGGCCTGGTATGGCAAGTGATGTTGAACTTTGGATCAAGAATTGTGAACGTTGTTTGAGACGAAAATCTCCTACAAATATCCGAGCCCCTTTGGTGAATATAGAAACTACTCACCCCCTTGAAGTTGTTGCGATGGATTTTCTAACACTAGAACCATCTAAAGGTAATTATCAGTATATTCTAGTTATTACAGATCTGTTCACAAAATATGCTCAAGCAATACCTACACGGAATATGACAGCTCGCACAACGGCTGAAGTATTTTTCAATAATTTTATAGTTCATTATGGTTTACCAAGTCGGATACATTCTGATCAAGGAGCTAATTTTGAGAGTAAAATTATTAAAGAATTATGTAGTTTAGTAGGTATGGATAAATCCCGCACCACAGCTTATCACCCGATGGGTAATGGGCAGTGTGAAAGATTTAATCGGACACTTTTGAATATGCTGGGTACACTTACGCCGGAGAAGAAAAATGATTGGAAAATACAAGTAGCACCTCTTGTACATGCATATAATTGCACACGACATGAAACCACTGGATTTTCACCTTTCTATTTAATGTTTGGACGCCACCCTCGTCTTCCAATAGATTTAGCGTTTGGAGTGAGTCGAGAAGTGTCTAATGTGTCATTACATTCGTATGTAAAAGCGTTAAAGGAACGGTTACAACGTTCTTATGAATTAGCGATTAAATCATCAGAGAATTGTAAAGAAAAACAGAAGACAAAATATGATCGGAAAGTTAAAGGTATTCGTCTTGATATTGGTGATCGTGTTTTAGTACGTACTTTAGCGTTTCAGGGAAAACACAAATTAGCTGATCGATGGGAACCTGGCGTTTACATTGTTGAGGATCAACCTAATTTGGAAATTCCTGTTTTTGTGGTCAGACCAGAGTCTGGGCGTGGACGATCGCGTACTTTACATCGAAATAATTTGTTATCAATCAATAGCGTTGAACCCGTGTATTTTCCGACTCCAAAACCGAGAAAGCGAAAAATAGTAATTGAGTCTAAAGTAGCTGCGGAAAAATGTGTTGAATTAGATTCAAGTTCTGATGAAGAATTTAGTTATGTGGAAGCCAATGATCCTGTAAATGAGAATTACCCGGAGGTTATTCTTACGGGAGGAGGGGAAGGTGATCATGAAATTATCGAGGATATTGTTGAGGGGGATCACAATACCGAGATATTTCATGGGGCATCTAATGACGCATCTGTAAGTAATGAAAATACTGAGGTAAAATCAATTGAAGTTAATGTTTCAGGTGACGCCGTAGATAATAATCCAAGTCCTCTACCGGCAGATGTATCTATTGAAACAAGACCTCGCCGAACATGTAACCAACCTCAATGGATGCAGAGTGGTGATTTTGTTATGGCTCAAATTAATAATCCGTCAGATTGGTATGAGAAAGCTAACTATATTCATTCATTACATCTTTCAGGTTCTTTAAGCAAAATGGCTCCAGAGGTTAGTACGGCATTGTTGTCGTTAATTACTGGTAAGTAAATGACGGGACGTCATTTTTACGGTGGGGGGAAGTATGTAACAGGGTCATATTTTGGGACTCTGTCAATTAATGTTGGTGAAGAATGTCCTGATCAGTGTCTTGATTGTTGGAAGTTTTTAATAAGTGAGTTTATAGTTTTGGTTGTGAGATAATGTAAATTCATTAAAATGTTTTGGGGGATGGATTTTCAGTTGTATGGGTCTGGAATTGTATTGTCCGGATTATGGTGTTTTATTTTAGTGGTTGAAATGTCTTAGTTCTTATATGGGTTTACTTTTAATATTTTTTGGTATAGTTGAAAGGATAACTCGTTGGACTCTTTATAGTTCTGAAGGTGGTCTCTTTCTGAAATATTGTTTATCAGGTGATTAGTAATTCTTTGTCCTGGTTGGTTATTCAGAAGTTTAGCTGGGATAAAACTAAATTACACGCATGCATCAGTACCACATGTTACAGATTTAGTGAAGGTCAATACCGGCTCTTTTCCACAAATGGGTAAGCTATTTAATTTAACTTTCTTGTAATAGATGACTGCAAGTGGACTGTGAGTTTCATGAGTGTTTGATATATAATTATATATGTAATTCAAATACTGTAAGGTAAAAATTGTAGGATGTGTAGCCAATAGAACTGTTGGTTACGAATATATGGATAATGGCAACTATTGTATTTTCAGGGCCAACTTGTCGAGCATAAATGTATTTTGTGTTATAGTTATGTGTAGTACCAACAGAAATGGTGTTTAATGGTTATGGTGAATTGAAATACATCTAGATCGACCAACATCGACTACGCGCTTACGCGTTTCATTTAATTGTTTTAAACTGTATCATGTGTCGTTTGTGGATTATATAAACTTATTTAAACCTTATCGTGTTGTCAATCAAGAAATCTATTTTCCCGAACTAAGCAGGTTCAATCTATCAACTTTACCACACCATTGCAGGTGATGGAAAGGGTAGGTCTGCAATATTCATTTTTTAAAAACTTGATGTATTTGTTCTATGAAGAAGTATGTATAACAGATTTGAGTTTTATAATACAATCATTGCTCCTGGTGGATGGGTGTCAATATGACTGGCAGACTATTTTTCCCAAAAATGGGTTCTGAAATCAATCATATGAACCTACCTTCAGAGGTGATAGCTGATCGAATTTCTGTAGCAGTACAATTAAGATCTATTTTACACAAATAAGGACACGCTTTCTTTAACTTGTATAAACCATTGTCTGTTATATTTTCACAAAGATTCAGTTCAAGTGTTTTTAATCTTTTATGCACAACCTAAAAAACAATACAAATATTCAACAGTACAAATACAAATATATTACAATGCATCAAATAGTAGTAAGCTTATACATAATCTGATGAGTTCATATAATCTTATATCAAACATGAGTAGCCTACATACTCTGTTTCAAATATAAGTACATATAATCTTATATTAAATATGGGTACATATAATCTTATAATTATATCAAATATGAGTAAGCTTATATATAATCTTATTTCAAATATGAGTACATATAATCTTATATCAAATGTGAATAGCTTACATTTATTCTTATTTCAAATATGAGTACATAATATGATCTTATATCAAATATGGGTACATACAATCTTATATCAAATATGGGTACATACAATCTTAGAAAATAAGCCCATTATGTTTATTTGAGTAAATAAAATTAGGGATTAAATATATAATTGTAATTTATTTGCTAGGAGTGAAATGAAATGACACGATGATTAACGTCCTACATTTTCTGCTTCATCCAGGTTGATAAAGACAGACATACACTATGCAGTGTGCTATGACTACTATGAGTGAAATTTTACCAGAATAGCCTACTCTTCAATAATTGTTAATCCCAATGGTTCTTTATATGTACACTAGACGCTGTTTAAATTTTAAATTAATAACTGATCTTGATTTGTGATACACTATTTCAATAATGGTCAATTTGAGCATAGTATTTGTTTCAAAAGTATTATGAATCAAAGGCTCGTAATTGTGGGAGGAGAGTTCATGGGGCTTAAAATTCATATCCTTATACATGGTGACGCACAATTCATAATTACCAATCTCATTAAAACACAGATCCTATTTCGTTTTGTTTTTATATAGTTCAAAATTTCGTTTTATTTGTTTTTACTACACTAGGATCTGGAAGAGTTGTTATCGTTGACGTGTTCTGGATGATGTGAGGGTTTAGGCAATGAAACAGTCTGTTACAGCGAGCTTTTGGCATGTGGGTAATCCACTAGAAACATCAATGCTGATTGGTTAATCAAATGTCTGATGTTATAGGGTCAAAAGCCGCTCGTAAGACCTCTGACGCGACCTAACTACAACTGGTCAGATCTTCATGTAGTGTAGACCATCAAAAGTATAAAAAATCAAAACGAAATATAGATCTGTATTTTAATCTTGATTTGTGATACACTATTACCATTTCTATATTTTCATCCGTAACCAAGCCTCTTCTTGACATAAGTTTCAAACACTGATCTTTTATATGTGGTGGTGCATCATGAAGCATTTCTGCATAGTGACCAATCTCAGTAACCACTGCTCTGGCTGATCTAAATGAAAACTTAAATATAATTTTCCATTATTAAAAAAATATGGCTAGATCAATGCATCCATGAAGGATAATCCAAGGGATCAGGAGACTGGTAGTCGAGAGATCTCATTCTTGTTGTATACATATTCACCCCGCGTCTTGCAGATGCCCTAATTTAGGCAATTTCTTTAAAGGATTGAAAGGGAGTTATTGGTGGGGGGGGGGAGCTGGGTGACTCTAGAGCTCTACCGCTGATCAGGTGACTGGTAGTCGAGAGATCTCATTCTTGTAGTATACATATTCACGAGTCCTGCAGATGCCCTTATAATTTAGGCTATTTTTTAAAGGATTGAAAGGTGGGTCCTGGGTGAGAAGTGGACTTGTAACGTTGTTCGGGGGTGGGGGGGAGCTGGGTGACTCTAAGAGCTCTACCGCTGATAGGACAAGAGATTTTTTTAAAAATCAGATGTGATATGGTGCATTTTGCATACGCCATCTCCCGGATCAAAAGGACCAATAGCTTGACCATGACTAACATATCACAGAGATCGTAAACAGAATAGAGTAACAACACTGTACAAATGGCATCAGCTGTTGTGAGAGAGAGAGAGAGAGAGAGAGAGAGAGATGGGGTTAACATCCACTTGACACAAACTATATAGGTCATTTCGGGACTAACACATGGTTCAATTTCATTTCTATAATTCGCTTGCGCGTAGGGGTCTTTAGCAGTGGGAGGAAACCGGAGGACCCAGAGAAAACTCACGAGGTTGGACAGGCAACCCTACTCCTTGTCGATCACGTACACCCGGGGATTCGAAACCACGCCAGTTAACTCGATCATGCGACAGACCTTCATATGATACAGTACCCACGTGCTAACCATTCAGCCATCCAACCCCCCAGCTGTTGTGAACAAAAATTGTTTTTCACAATTCCATTTATGATTTCACTGAAGACGATGAAGTACATTTTGGTAAATTCAACTTAATTTGCTTTCTCTGGTTGATTTATAGAATATATTAATACTCAGAATAGCCCTACTCCCTGAAATCTTGGTTCACCAGTTTTGCCTTTGGATGAATTGGTTGGGTGGTGGGCAGTTGGTGGACCAAATTGGTGCACTGGGCAACAAATGCCCTGATCAAACTACCGATAGTATTGATAGTCTGAGCGATTGGGCAACAAATGCCCTGATCAAACTACCGATAGTATTGATAGTCTGAGCGATTTTGCTATTGTGGTGCGTGCACGTTTTAAATTATCATAATGTGATTAATTTTTAGCTTATTTATGACATAATAATATATCCAATCGCAGTCTTCACTTAGTAATAGTAGAGCTAGGCCTATGCTATTCTATTTTGAGTTTCGTCGACACATTGGGGACTTCTTACATATAAAATAAACTTGTCATCGTGTCGCGATTGCTTCCCATTTTTTTAGTAATTTACTGCACTCTGTCTGTTCACAATTCCACTATTATCAACAATTTGTTTACAAACAGCGACCGTAATATTTTTGACCAATGAAATAGAAGAAATTGTTGAACTTCGAGATATAATATTTATCACGTGATCTTCCGAGTGAACGTCATCAAAAATGGCTGAACAACCGTCTAAGGCTGATATTACAGCAATTTTCAAGCGTTTACGTTCGATTCCGACAAATAAGGTAAACGTATTTGTACATAAAGAAAAGTAGTTATGATAGGGATGATACAATTATCGGGTTTTACTTGTATGAGCTGCTATATTATAGGATATAAGCATTTGAAACTGAAAATTTCGGTGTCGTGACCATTCCTTATGATTGGCTTTTCCAACGAAAAACGTGTCAACTCCCACGGTCACACATGTCACACAAGAAACAGTAAACAACTGAAACGTCAAAGTTTATTTCATAACCATGCATCCGTGACAGCAGCCTTTAGTACTAGTAGAATCTATTTCCCGGTTTTATTTGACCATTTATAATAGATACGGTTCTTTGTGTAATGACAATGTAAATGAAAATCGTTGTCTTGATAATAATCCATTCTGATTCTGCGTTTCTAATTTCAAGGTTTAATAAATCATTAAATGAAACCAGTTGAGAATAAGATAACCGAATTTGTTTTCAACCAGTAAAACTAAAACAAAAGGTCCCGCGTCATTTCGGACTCAACACAGACAACATTTCGGACTCAGTTTGACGACGGTTCGGACTCGGATGAATAATTAAAAAACTGTTGAACATTTGTGTGATATATTTGTAACAGCTGATTTTTTTGATTTTTTTTTTCGTTTTATGTGAGTCTGATAGTTATTTTGTTTTATTTAATTGATCAGCGATTCTTGAGACCTCTAATAAAAAGATAACACTGATTTTACACGGCTTGTTCTATTTTGTTTTGTTTCATCGGCGAGTATTGAACTTGACAATACAATATTGTTGAAAATTTGTGTATATTTAATAATACTGCTAATGGTTTTATAATTGTGAAAGCCTAAATGTCTTTTATGTTAGTCGGAATAATAGAATCAACACACAGCCACTATTATCGCTGATTGACAACTCACGTTTTTCCTCGTCCACTAAAAAACTGTAAGGTTTCTTTGCGCATACTACAATACCATAGGGATTATCGTTTCATCAGCTTTAATTACCCACTTTGATCGTTGCCATTTCTAATATTTTCCAAAAAGAGTTTTCTTTGTCCGCACTAATTTATCGATTCTACAGCATATTATTCTTTTTTAAAAAAATAAAAAACGATGACAGTTGTGTTCAACCTTTCCTTTCAACTTATTCCCGAGTCCGAAACGTCAGCTGTTTGAGTCCGAAATGTCACCTGCCCCAGACCGAAACGTCGAGGCCATATTTTTTGGAGTTCGAAATGTCGTAAGTCTGAAATGACGCGGGACCGAAATGATATGTAATCAAACAAAAACATCAGGTCAGATCTACCCAAATCAGAATGGTCTACCTTTTGTAAATGTTAGATAGAATTCACATATCAACACTCACACACAATCATTTCCCTTACTTTGTATGTATTAATAATATATAAATTACATTAAATAATTTATTTTTTATTTTTCAGACATGTTTTGATTGTAACAATAATAACCCAACATGGGCATCAGTGACCTATGGTGTATTTTTATGTATCGACTGTTCAGCAACACACAGATCTCTTGGAGTACATGTTACTTTTATCCGATCAACACAGTTAGACACAAGCTGGACCTGGCTACAGTTACGGGCTATGCAAGTTGGCGGAAATGCTAATGCAGTAAGTATTATTTACTGTATAATTTTGCATAAATATAATCACACAGTTCCTCTATGGGGTTCAATAAATGTTAAAGACTATTTAGCCCTATAGAATCCCTTGCAGTTGCACTCTGCAATAATGTGAAAGTTTGGGAATACCAGTTCGAAAATGGTTCAATTTCATTTAGTATTTACAAATTTTAAAGATATGACAAATTGAACATTCCACCGATCTATTCGATTTACCACGTGCACTGCCTCCAATTTAACAAGACGGACGCCATCTTTATTTGTCACAAACCAAACTGATGAGCTGCAGTTTTAAATCCGAATGTATGAAAGCCGTGATATTTGGAGTTGGTATTTTGTTATTGTTTTCTTAATATATAATCAATCTGAGTACACAGCATGAATTAAGTCATGAGAAATTTGATGTCTTCCGAAAAATGCAAATCAAGCATCATTACTTTAATCGTATATCGATACATGTATCTGTTGCTTGTAGGAAAATGTGTAGTTACACATATAAATTACCCTGTTATATTTATTACTATTGGATTTGAATCTGATCATCTGAGAAACAGAGTTCCACTAACATAAATTTTAATTTGGTATGCATCCCCCCTTTTTTCCAGCTTGCATTTTTCCGACAACATGGATGTACCACAGCAGAAGCTCAACAGAAATACAACAGTAGAGCTGCTGTTTTATATAAAGAAAAACTGCTCGGATTGGCACAGCATGCAGTTAGACAGCATGGAACCAAGGTAATGTCTAAGTACAAGTTTTAATTCATGGCCAAATCTGTAAGAAAACTGACTCAAGATTCTAAAATATGAGCATGGGTTGTCTACCATTGTTGAGTAGTATTTTCTTGTCTTTTGAATTATTTTTTTGACTCGTGCATAAAGCTATACAACAATAAATTAACATGGATTTGTTCTGTTTTTTATATTAAAATTTTGTTGTATTTGATGGATTGTCATCATAGAAAATATAGTGCAAGGGAAATTAATTAGTTTGTACTGTACTGCACTAGTTAGAACTAATTTTAGGCTAATGGCTTGAATATCTGTGGAATACATGTATATTGTAAACTACTAGTATTCATTATATTTTGTCTGTACACGTCTAAGTAGTAAAATATATATTTTAATGTGTTTGTCTTTTATGTCTGATGTTTTTTTATATATTTTAATCATAAAGCTGTTCTTAGAGCTGAAGACTGACAGCAAAGGAAACAAGGTTAGACAACTTTGTCAGCCTTGGCTTATCTCTTGAGATGTAAACAGGGGGGAATTGTTGAAGGAAAATGATCTTTTGTTTACAGAATTTGACTTTTTTGTTACTGTAAAGAAGTGAAACCTATCACTTCTCAAAATTAAAATTAAAAAAAACCATTTACATACATGTACATGCATGGTTAATTATAAATGCACTCCTGTTTACACAAGAGTATGGCCTATAAATACAGCTTATTAATCATGGTTTGAATCTAACAGGCTTGTTTTTCAGAAATTACTTTAAAATTATTATTATTATTGTTGTTGTTTTATTAAAAAATAATATTTCTTTCAGTTATATTTCTACTTCTAGTTCCTTGATTTCAGAAAAACAAGCTGATATATTGGCACATTATAATTCTCTCATTTTGTTTAAAGGAAGATAATTTGAAAATTGTAAATTAAAACAGAATCAGTGGACTATTATGCAAATACAAATGTCTGTGAACATTAAGAATGACTTCAGTTATTTTTGAAGACAACGATTTGATACATGTAGCTTAGGGGATAAATTTGGTCTCACAGCAGGGATGCTATTGCTACTTCGTCTGTTTTTTCCGGATATGTCCTACACAATTTTCCAAACTTCTGACCAGGTATATGCCCAATCAGATATCAAGACATAGTGAATAATAATAAAAATAATATTCAAAATTCCAGTATATATTGACTGTACTGAGTGTATAACTACTATTCATTTTGATTATCGTAATAGGGTCGGATTGATTAGTTAATTAAGTGATCAACATATTTATCGTGTTATACAGTCTGTATCCCTATCTTGATTAACTACTTAATTTGCCTTGATTAATGGGCTTGATCCTTCGTTGGACGATTCATCAGTCCAATCCTGAAAAGAAGTCGTTGCTTCTCCTTTGTCAAGCGAAACGTGATGATGCTGGGACACCCATGTCCACTGTTTTCACTTTAATTTCTGTGCCATCACCCAATAATTTTGATCTGTAACTATTTTCCTTCATAAGAATTGCCAGATGGTCCCACCTAGCAACTCATTGCCATTGCATAATGTTTTTACCATTTTCCATTCACGACAACAAAATATTCCATTTTCCATACGCATTACAACGCAAAATGTATCCATATGAATCACTGCTTATTACCTATTAAACATGCATTATGCAAGAGCTACACAATGTAAATCTGCCTATTGCAGGTCTTTTTGGGGCCAGAAATGTTATCTAAATAGATATTAATTAACTGATCAAGGCCATAATCAAATATTGATTTGAATACATTTTGTGAGCGATAATTAAATGTAAAAATGGACAATCAAGACTTTGTTTTTTTATCGTATCGATGCTCTATTCTAAAGACTTATAGATCATTTTGTTGCGGGTATCTCACATATTTTATATAGTATTCTTGTATAATTTTGTCTTTGGTATTTTCAAAAAGAAGTCAACATTTCACCCCCAAAATGACATGCGATATATGATGTTTTGAAAATGAGCTCTTTATATTAACACTAGTATTAACAGCAGTTATCTTCCTTTAAACTGTGGATATTACCGTATTTGGTTGAATAATATTAAAGTTTCAGCTGGGGCTGAGAGCAGTTAACTTATTAACATATATAAATTATTTAACACGTTAACAATCTGTGACATCATATATGCAAATTCGGCTGGAAAATCGTTATATAGACCCATGAAGGGGCCTAATTCATGCAAAATATCATTCAGAGACCACAGTGCCACTGTTGCTAAAGTTACATCTGCCGGATTGCGCATCTTCTGTCACCGATTCGGAATCAAGGATCAAAGGCACCAAATTTGTTTTTAAACATTTTCTCATCAAAATGCCACCTAAATAGCTTTAAAATTTTAAAGCGTTAACCAGTTAAAAGAAATTTTAACTTGCTCTCAGTCTTAATTTCAACGTTATGGATTATTTATACAAATTTAATATATTCGTGTAATCGGTGTGTATATGTTGTAACCAATATATTTAGATAACTTTTAATTTTAGAGATAATTATTTACTTAATTACTTGAAAAACTACTAGCCTACATAATAATATAGTCATATTACATACTTTTTATAAATAATGAATTGTCTTGAAATGCATGTATTACTATTGACAAGGTAGATAGTAACTTGATTACTCAAAATATAACATAATAGTAACATGTATTATTTTTGTGTATCGTCTGTGTATTTGATGTCAATCTCAGAATTCTTAATAAAACAATGGGTGATTCAGAATATATCTGTTCATTCAGTCAATTTGAATACAAATGATAAACATATAAAAATATATTAAAACTGATTTGACCATGTCACATTGAATTTATATTATTCAGAAGTATTAATTTTGATAAGATAATGTAGCCGACAAGGTTACCAAGCTATATGTTAGTAGGATTTGTGATTAATTTCTGACAGCCTTCTTGTTGATTTAATTAGTGTTAATACTAAAAACCTTTTTTCTATTACAAGTAAGTTAATATGATTTGAAATCATGTACCTTCTGTGACCTGGGTGCAATTTTTATAATTTCTGAATATAGTTTATTTTTTTAAAATCTGTACAGATCACTTAAAACACTAATCTGATGAAGTGATTGATACATCATAAGCAGATGTATTTTTTAAAGATGAACATTCATATTTTGTGGTTGGTGTGTTCTTTTGAGGTTACATGCATGTACACATGATTATGCTTTTTTGAATGGGAACTTTCTAGTATATTTTAATTTAGCCTTAGTATTATGTTAATTATATTATGCCTGCCTTTTAACTTTGTCATCCTTCTCTAACATTCTTGTATATTATTGTCAGCTATATCTCTCTGTTCACTAATTCTGTGTAGAATTTAGTGAAACTTGCACAAATGTACATGTCCTGTGTTCTAAGGATAAAGATGCAACGCATAGAAGTTTTAAATGTTGCATTTTATTGATAGAGTTGAGTTATTACCCTTATTTTAAAAATTTGTGGTCAATTTGGGGAGAATTGTTTTCAACATACTGTGGTTAATCTGTAGATTAATTGCTTCTCAAATTATATGGAGAGGTTGACATTCTTGTTTCTACTACATTTTACCTGTAGGCCTTACTCAAAGCCTAACACATTTAGTTTGGACATTGGTTCTTACTTAACTCTAACTACTCCTTTATTATTTTTATACACCCATATGGAAATGTGTATGTATATTTCCGCCGCCCCCATCCGTCCGTCTGTCCACAATTTCTTGTGAACGCTCTAATGGAAAAAGTTATCATCCGATTGTTTTAAAATTGATATATGTTGTTTACATTAGTGAGATAAAGAATCCTATTTAATTTCAATAATTTCTCTTTATTATGTCTAGAATTATGACCCTTGTTACACTTTGTTGAACCTTGTGAATGCTCTAATGCCAAAAGTTATCATCCGATCTGTATGAAATTTATATGCATCATTTATATTAGTGTAACCACGCAGCCTGTAGAATTTCAGCAATTTACAATAATTACGTCTAGAGTTATGGCCTTTGTTTCACTTTGTTCAACCTTGTTAATGCTGGATTGATGAAAGTTATCATCCGATATGTATGAAATTTATATACATCATTTGAATTTGTGAAACGGAGGTCTATTGAATTGTAGCAATTTCTGTTGATTATTTCTGGAGTTATTGTCCTTGTTTTACTTTGTAAACCTTGTGAACATTTGAATGACAAAAGTTATCATCCGATCTGTATGAAATTTATATGCATTATTTAAATTAGTAAAACGAAAAAGCCTGTCAAATTTCAAAATTTCTGTAAATTACCTCCAGAGTTAAGTGCTTAAAAGTTCATGATTTTATTTTTAAACTTAAGAACTGTGATATTTGTTTTTATATTTAATTATATAAATAGTATTGTTGTGAGATGTTATAGCCTGTCTTGTATATTTCACCATATGTTTGGCGCAATATAGCCCGGTTGGAGCTGACGTGCCATTAAACAACATTTCATTTTATTTCATTTCCAGAGTTAAGGCCCTTATTTCAATTTGTGGAACCTTGTGAACCCTGAAACGACAAAAAGTATAGTCTGATCTGTATGGAACTGTCTTGTAAATATCCCCAATTACCTACAAAAGAATAAATATGTGACAACCCCTGTCAACCGCTCGGACGATTTAGTTGCTGTGGGTGTATGTTTCGTTGCCTGGCAACCTATCTTTATACAAAGTTCTTAGTAAAATAATATGGCTCTGGTTAACTAATCAGGAAGCCTGAGTTTGATCTCAGTCTTGACTGAAACATTTCTCAGGATTTTCCAGTCTGGTTTTCTCTGGTGCAGGAATTGGGGCCTGACAAGGAAAAAACGTCTAGTCATTCTGTGTAAACATAAAAATTTGGCAGTTAAAAATAGAATGCGATGTATGCAAAATTTTGGTATTGTGCACTGCATGGCTTATGTCCATCTTTATTAGCCAGACTGGTACAGGAAAATAGGACCATATACCCCAGTTTTGTACTGGTAATGAACAGATGATGGATTTGGTTTGTTTTGTTTTTTTGCAATATCAGTATTCGACAATCCGTTCTGTATTGCATTGAACCATTAACCATGATATCTATATGTAAACAAGTTATTTTGTTTCTTCAGCTTCACATTGATGCATCTCATGGAGAAACCACCCCAGTCCAAAAAGAAGTGGATTTTTTCCATGAACATACACAAGAAACTGGTGACTGGACTCAGACAACTAATAATAGTATATCAGAAACAGCAAGATTAGGCAGTACAGCGCCAGTACCTATTAAAAACGGAAATGGCTCATTAAAAGATACTCCAGGTACATATATTTCTCTATCATTTTTTTTATTATTTTGTTTCACATGAGTACAAGTTTATCAAATGATCATTCATAGCCTATATAATATTGTAATCTAAAATATGTACCTATATAATTGGCATTAAAATATAACAAGTTTGTGTATAATTTCTCATTAGCTTTACCTCCTACTCCATAAATGATTATAGATACAGATTATCATGTCCTCCCATAACACTAAAGAAACAAATATACGATCCAGATTATTATTCTCTATCCTTTCACTGTTAGACTAAGAAATGATTGTAGATATGATTTTTAAGAATAAAGTGTTATGGTGACAGGACCTTTTTGACGAATGTCTTTAATCTTTTTATATATATCTTTATACATAACAGTCATGTACTGATGTATAATAGCCCAAGATGTGGTGTAGTTCACTCCTTGCATGTGTATAAAAATTAAATATATATGTTTCAGATTTTGATCCTAATGAGGGACCTAGTGTAGAAGCAGCTCTAAATATGTCTCCAACTCAAGCAGCAGCTATAGCAGAACCAAGAAAATCTTTAATAGGTGGTAAAAAAACAAAATCAACAGCAGCCAGAAAAGGGGTAATGTATATCAGTGATATTGTTTGTTTTTTTTTAGAATTGCCATTTGTCAGGGAAATGTAAATAAGAACTACAGAATCAATTATTGGGCTTTAAAATTTAAATTTTTAAATATACCTACATTTTACACAGAAATACAATGGTTTGAAACCTGAAATAAATACACTTAATGTTGTTTTGGGTCAAGTGACTTCTCTCATCAATTTCTAAGATTTCCACACTTTTTTTTAATTTTCATTGCAGAAAGGATTTGGTGCCCAGAAAGTGAAAACTAATTTTAATGAAATAGAAAACCGAGCAAATCAGTTAGATAAAGAAAGAGAAGAAATTAGTAAAAATATGGCAATACAAGAAGCTAGAACAGTAGAAGAACAACAAAAACAGATGTAAGTTATATAGTTCTACTCCTTTGTCAACAGTGAAAATTTACATTTTAATACATTTACTGAGTTGACATTAAATCCCATTTCTCAATCTTAGTCTTTTTGATCCAGAAAAAACTAAATGAAACGAGAAAGTAATGCACATAAGAAATTAATGTAATAAATCTAAATCGTACAATTAGTTTCACAAATTGATTTCAATAAGAGTACATTAAAGGATCTAAATCGATAATATTTGGGACCTAGAAATTGACACAAATGTGTCACAAGGCATACAATAATGTAATATGAATGTATATAAATTGATTTACATTCAATCGTTTCTGTTTTTACTGTAATTTCTAATCAGTTAGGTTCGCGAAATACGCCAGAAGTCTCAATCGAATGGCAATCTCTGTCGTCTGGTTATTCCAATCTATGCCGATAGTATTTATTGCGCATGCTCTCCAGATAAGAATATAGCGTCACCGTTTGACATGACTTGTGGAATATGCCTAGCCTCGTTTTTCGAGTCCCTTATTACAAATAGCGCTGAAACGCGATTCGTGTACCAATTGTAAAATGGTTTTTTTATTTTAAATATTGGATATCAGTAGCTCATCTTTTGCTGGTAAGATCACATCATCAATGTTGATTTAAATTGATAAATAATTTGTGTTTTCAATGTCGAAGATTTTGGATAATATAGAGTTAGAGACTACTTTAAAACTAATTAATATATGAAGTAGTTACTGTATAAATCATTGGAATCATTTATAATCTGATAAATTATACTTATCAGTTTATCATAATAATTTAATAATTAAATATTTCAGGGCATCAATGAAGTTAGCATATAAAGATATGGATGCTAAAAGACTCAGAGAGGAGGCAAAATTGAAAGCAGCCGATCCTAAAAAAGCTGAACAATTTGAAAGACTTGGTATGGGGTACGCTGGTAGTAGGTGAGACATTTATTTTTTTTACACCCTCACATTTTCCTCTGTTGTAATTCTTTTTTTTTCCAGTGACAATTTAAGTTTTTTTTTGTATGATGGACAAATAAGTTGCTTATGAATATTTTGTATGTTCAGATATTAGTCAAACCTAATAATGATGCATGTGGAGCTATGAATCAAAAAATTGCAACAACAGTAACATCAGCCTGCCTAGCAATTTGAAAGCTCATAAAGAGCAAGTATATATTGATCAATTTCTCCCTTTCTATAGAAATTATTTGTATGCTAATAATAGAGAATTGTTGGTTTTTTTTTGTTTTTTACAGAGGTATCAGTCATTCCGCTTTATCAGATATGCAGACCATTGAACAGGTCAACCCAAATAACAGAGATAGATATGATAGTCGACCAAAACCTACTAGAAACAGAGATTTCTTTGAAGATGAATTTGAGAATCTAGGATTTTCTAATTCAAATTCCTCCAGGTTGGCACTTTTTATTTGACATGCAAAGTTATTGATGATCCAAAATTATTGGATACTTTATGGTAAAAACAGGTCACTAGCTGGGGTTCTTAGACTGTTTAAGTACTGGTACTAAAGATGCTAAATATTGTATCCATTTTGATACATATCTCTGAATGTGATATAAGCATAAACAGGGTAAAAGCAAGTAGTGCTTTTTAAAATTAGAATTAACCTACATTGGCCGAGAAAGTTCATCAGGATTGTCCGGCGTGGTTATCCATTGTCGGTGGTGCATGGTGGAGGGCCTGACAAGGACAGCTCTCTAGTCTTTTGGATGGGACCCAAAAAAAAATCTGAGGTCCTGTGTATACATTGTCGTGCATGTAAAAGATCCCTTTGTAGTTGGAATTCGATATAAGAGTAGGCCATAGGCAAAATTTCCCTCATAGCACAGTAGTGCACTGTATGGTGTATGCCGTCTTCATTAGCCCAGTATACAGGAGCAGAACAGTAGGACGTTGAACCCCATTTCATTTCTTGTCCCGAAATGACCTAGTTTGTGTCATGGACGTTAAACCCCTCTCTCTCTCTCTCTCTCTCTCTCTCTCTCTCTCTCTCTCTCTTATAAATGGGCTTATTGAGAATAAAATACTTTCGATTGTGTAAATATGCTTCTGCATATAAAATGATGGAAATAGTTCTATTTCCAGAAAATTAAAAGCCAATATTGCAAAACTACATGTAGACTAGTTATTTATTGATACTTATTTGGGCAAATATCAGCATACAACAAATGTGACCCACTCCCACGAAACCTGACGCTTGTCGCACAACTTCATTTTGTACTATGGGCACAAAAGCATAAACTATATGCCTTCTTGTTGCCGGGAATGAGCCGAACTCCAGATGATACCACAAATTTAAAAAGAATTTTATTTTAGAAAAGCTTAGGCTGTGGACTATTCAAATATGCTGCTAGCTTAATTTTTATAAAAATGACCAAGACCCTGGTTTTGTGGGAGCAGCTCACAAATAGTACTCACAAACCAATGATTGGTTTATTTATAAGCCAAAGTTCAGATACATCCACAGTTAAATAATTATGGTCCGATACAAAATATCTTCCCCTGATAACTGTTCTTGACACTAGTAAACCAATGATCAAATAATTATTAGTGGACTGTATTGAATATGAACATTTGTCTTTTCGCTTTTACTGTTTGATTTACTATGAAATTTAATTGTAACATGTACTTGCTACATGTATCATAAATTGTTAATACTAGATTTATAATTATTGAACTGTGATGGTATTTTGCAGATCGAATAATGATAGTTTATATGGCTCAAAGAAAGAAGATTTTAGTAGTTGGGGTAATCAGAATAAAGGTGGATCATGGGATATAGATAGATTTGATAGTAGAGACAGTAGAGATAATGTTACAGATACCGTGTCACAAAAAGATGATGATAGGTATGTATTAATATTGTATAGTTGATATAATTATAACTTTTTTAAGTATATTCTATAATGATTTCCTTGTAATCAATTTGTCTAATATGTTCAAAGTGACTATTTTGATACTATAATTTTTGGTACAAATCTTGTGAAAATATTGACCTTTTAGATAATTTAAACCAGTTTTAGAAATTAAAACAAATTTTATTTATAAAAAAAATGAGTAAAATATAAATATGGTATGCTATTATAGTGTGTTTATTTGATATTGTTGTATGCATGTTTACCATGTTGGTAATTTATGAAATGGCTGTGTTGAATTGATTCCTTCTATCTTCTTGCCTGTTAACTTAAGTCAAGGACGATGAAAATTGTACTCTTATCTTTTTAATACAAAAAAACAAACCACATTAAATCCACTAAAAAAATAACAGAAAGCATGTTATATAGACAGGTGCTATAGTACTGTAACCCTGAGTGATCAATTTTTTCATAGCTGAAATTATCATATACCGGTACGTCATTATTTTAGTTGTATTGTCCAATCATATCTTGTGTACTAAATTACGCGGGAATTTGTTTTGTGTTGAAAATAAGCTACCAGTTGCAGCGTCAGGTAGCTTTTTTTTCATACTTCAATACTAAGTCTTAACCCTTTCAATGCTAGACGTAAATCCACTGCCTGTGCTAGACCCTTTTTTGAGGAAAAAAGGGGAGGTTGGAACTGAATGCCAAGCAGTACTTATGGAAGCTTTTATGAAAAAATTTTTTGTCTGTTGGGATGGGCATGGGGTTGGGCTAAGAGGAAAAAATAGAATTTTGGAAATTTGCATAATAATGTAGTCACGTGACGTCATGGCGGCCATTTTGGATTTCTCATTTCTCACTAAAGCTAACACGAAAACGAATTTTTCTCCATGAAATACTTAAAAGATATTGTTTTTTTCACTGGATTTTGATAAAGATATATAAAATGAACAAAAATATCAATAGCAGCCATGAGCAATGCCGCCACGAACACGCGCATCACGTCTCCCGCTGCCATGACCACGTGCGGATTGCAATACCTTGTTTTTACTTTCACTTTCACTTTCATCCCCAAGTCCCATATCATTATCAATATAGTCAGTCAATAGATCTACACGTTCGGGACTCAGGAATTGCCTATGTCTTTTACGATCCAGCAGGCCAGCATTATTATCAACATCAGAATTATTGTCGGAATCTACTGCAGACACAGGGCTATCGTGTTCACATTGGGCTTGTTCATCATGCACGGGAGACATAGCTAGCCATGGGCGGAACGTCGCGCAACAAATCACACACTTCATAATACCAATCACTGTCCTGACTACTTTCATTATCGAGTAACTGGAAACGAATTATGTGTATCACCCGCCTCGAAATTGTCCACGTGTTGGTCAGCAAGACGTCATTCACGACTTCGCCGAGAGGGCATCGTCTACGTTGTCACTATGCACTCCACCATTTTACGGTTTGCCGCTTTGAAACACGTGGAAATATGTTCTAGTGTATAGAAAATACAATAGATGGCACTTGAAGTTACGGTACTAATTTTAGCGAGGGCTTTACTGAGTACATGGTAATACCGGGTACGCGCATTTTACCGACATTTTATAATACCCGGTACTACCGGGTATACGCAGTGAAAGGGTTAAGCAACTAACCTATCACTCTTAATTTTAATTATCCACGTCACACATTACCCACCCTTAAATTGTTTTGGTCCTTCTTTTGATCCGAATGAATATTGTGATATAAAACAGTTTTATTTCTTCGATATTGGCATAACTAAAAATTCTTGTGAATTCTGTCTAGTAAAACATGTACCCAAATCCAATGCTTTAAATTTGAAATAAAGATGTTGAGAAATCAGTAATTGAATATCAAAACGACTTTGAGTTGCACCTGTACGTATGGCACTTGTTCTCCACGTGTTGAGGACATGTCACGCCCCTTGGAATTTCGTTCTCACATCCTGATTCCTGACTATATTTACGCTAAAAATTTATGAATTACTCTCCTTACCAAATTTTTTGATTTACTCAATTTTTCCAGTCAATTGAGTCTTGGGTGTGTCAATTGGAGCCACAACAATTAGCTTGGTGCTGTTATGGGATTAGAAGAATTAGGTCACGTTAATGTGATTTGGAGGTTAGGTCAGTTAGGTGTCTAATTCATTTAGATATTATGTGTAGAAACTTCATAATTCTATACACTCGAGTCAAATGAAAATAAGCGGATGCCTACATGTATATGTTTCAAATATCAAATATAAATTTAACTTTGAATTCACTCCATCAAAGTAGGGTTATTTCCAATCTAACTAAAACACAGATCCTATTTTCATTTCATTTTTTATAGTTCAAAATTTCGTTTTACTTGTCATTACTACACTAGGTAGAATCTGGAAGAGTTGTTATCATTGACATGTTCTGGATAATGTGAGGGATGAGCCAATGAAGCGGTCTGTTGCGGCAAGCTTTTGGCGTGTTAGTAATCCACTAGAAACATCAATGCAGATTGGTTAATTTGACGTCATAGGTTCAAAATCCGCTCATATGAATTCTGGGGTGACCTCCCAAAACAACCGGTCAGATCTTCATGTAGTGTAGAGTGTAGGCCATCGAAAGTATAAAAAAATCGAAACGAAATCAAAATCTGTATTTTAATGTTAGTTGTTATTAAATTCATTGAAGTTTACCTTCACACAGTAAAGGGTTATTCTGACTAATTAAGATCATAAGTAAAAAGTACACCACCCTCAGACTAGATAGTAATATATCATGCTAGAACATTGTGTGTTTTAATACCTAAATTGTGTTGTGTTTACCGCACTACCGCACAGCTGGCAGAGTGGTGGCAGGAGAAATAAGAAATCAATTCAACACGGCCAAATTAGAAACTTCACTATATGTATATGTTAGTGTAGGATACTTTAATGACTCTGATGTTGAATCCTTGTCATTTTCTGAAGTGCATTTCTTTATTTGTTAGCAATAATAGTACTCCAGATGAACCAGATAATAACTCAAGGTTTGTTGTGGTATACAATAACAATTACCCCAGTGTTTTGATATATACACCATAGTTAGTTATAACATTCTAACACATACTTGTAATCATTATCATGTCTCTTCATAGCTTTTTCATTTGAGGTTATATATATACAAAAGTGTGACTAGACCCTGCCTCCGTCACCGACATCCAGTTTCCTCCCACTGCTAAAGACCCCTACGCCCAAGCGAATTATGTAAATAAAATTAAAACCATATGTTAGTCCCGAAATGACCTAGTTTGTGTCGAGTGGACGTTAAACCCCATTTCTCTCTCTCTCTCCGTCACCGACAAAATTTTAATGCCAAAAAATCTTTTCAATTATTTAGCCTTGTGTCTTTGAATACTTGCTGTAGATTAAAGGATGTAAACCTCTTTGATATAGATCAAAATAAAGTATTCAATCTAGTTGATTTGATGTGTTAGTACGATTGATATTCACTTTTGATGGATAAAATGGCTTCTTTATGGATTTCATTTAGTGTTTGGCTTACAGGCGCATTATGTAAGATTCAGATAAACAGTTGGTGGCCATTCTTGCTATAATAGTTCAAAAATACTTAATCAAAAATGAATATATTAAAAACTTCATTCAGATTACTTTATTCCGTGCGAAGTTAAGTCTCGAAATCCAATGGTCTATAGAGTTCATTGTATGCTTACAAAGTGAATTAATGTCTAAATAATAAATTAAATCCATAATAATTATTATACTATTCTGCTGACCAAATTTCACTTCAAAATTTTGCTTTGTCAGGTATTTTGGTTTGTAACCTTTCAAATTAAATTTCTTTAGCTTTTAGTTTTAGCAGTTTTATTCATGGAACTGTATCTTAAATTCACATGTCTATCACTTTGTCAGTGATGTACATAAAACTTCTATGCTGATATAAAAAAATCTTAGTATAAGATTAGTAATTATATATTAATTTTTGAAATATGTATGCCCTCATTGTTATATATCCTATAATAAAGTGTGGGGTTTTGTTTCGTTTCGTTTTTTGTCTTGTTTTGTTATCTCTCAAAAGTGTGGTTCATGTAAAAATAGGTTTGTCTTTCGGGTTATCAGAATAATTTTTTGTTCTATTTTAGTTATGCATGATCAGGCAATGTCACAAATGTGTTTTAAAATTAGAATTTTACGTCTATTTTAAATGAAATTACTCCTTTTCTTGTCTATAATAATTTTGTACAATTTTAAGTTATTCATCATAGTTTCTCACAATACTCTTCTAATTTCAATGTCATCTTTCTCTTTTTTACTTTTTCCACACAGCTTTTTAAAAAAAGAAATCATTTTTCTTAAAGTTTAATTTATATGTTACTAATAATTTACTTAAAATATTGTGTTTTTATTTCAAAGTACATTACTGTACTTTTCAGTGTGTAAGACATTATTATTTCTTAAGTATTTTATTATGTTTTTCAGATCTGGTCGAAGTCGTAAAACATATGATATAGATTCTTCTTCGTCAGACGCAGCACAAAAGAAATTTGCTGGTGCCAAAGCAATCTCATCAGATATGATGTTTGGAAATAAAGACCTTGATGTAACTTTGCCATTTTACTTGAACTTTTAATTACATTCTGTAAACCTAAAAGCTTTTATAGATTATACAGTCTCCAGTTTATTTATCCAGTGCTTATATCCTAACCCTCTTCTATAATACTGATACAGGGTCTGATATAAAACTGGAAGAGAAAGGCTACAAATGTAGTTATTGAGGCAGATTTATGAAGATAAATAAATCTGTGCGATTTACATTTAACATATTTTATATTTCAAATTATCCTTGCTGATTTCTTTTCACATCAAGGTTTTCATCCTTCAATAAGTGGGGGTTTGGATGGCCGAATGGTTAGCATGTGCGCGCTGTATCCTAAAGTTTGTCATTGAGTCAGCTGGCGTGGTTTCGATTCCCCGATTGTACGTGACAAGGAGTAGGGTCGTCTGTTCAACCACTTGGGTTTTCACCGAGTTTTTTTAAATCGGATAAAAATTATGACCGCTATAGGGTCCACAAGCTAAAAACATGATTTTTTGTACAATCAGGGGCCATATTTCAGGAACTTACGGTCCGATATGCGCGAATATCGAAAGGAACCAAGATCTTTGGGTTATAAACTTTGATTTTAAGTTTCGTTGAAATCCGCTAAAAATTGTGACCAGTAGAGTGTCCACAAACAAATTGTGTAGAGTGTCCACAAACAAATTGTGTAGAGTGTCCACAAACAAATTGTGGACGTCCGGACGGACAGGGGCGACGGCATAATACGTCCACATGAAAATGTGGGCGTATAAAAATCGCATTTGTTTTTACCTTGTTCTCTATCCATCTCTTGCAAAATGTGGGTGTATCCTGCCTGGCAGCCGCTGGTTTAAAGATACATTGAGCGATTAGATAAAGAGCTGTCAGTTCTCACTCTAATTTCAGTCAAATTGATCACTTTGAAAAAATTTTGAAGGCTAAAGTTACTTTCCGATTGACTTTTAAATTTAAACACAGTGTTTAAGGTCATCAGGTCATGATTTTATATTTATACACCGTGTTTACGCCATATATATTCGTTTTTGATTAACTTTAGATTGATAAACAGAGTTTAAGGTCTTGAGACGAACAAATATATTGATTTTCAATGATTTTTGATAACTTGAACAGCTAAATCCATGATATTAAATGGAATGGGCCAAAGAAATTCTAATGATTTTCTGATAATTACTTAATGAGTTGTTACTCTTAATCAGATTTTAGTGTATTATAAATGTTTCATTACCGACAAAAGTAAAAATATGCAACAACTCTTTCTGACTGCCAGGATGATTTAGTTGCTGTGGGCGTATGTTTCGTTGCCTGGCAACCTATCTTTTGATTTAATCATGAATGAGCGTTGAGCAGAAGACTGGATCGCAGGCTAGCGATGACATCGAGAGTTGATAATGGTCTGGATAAGTTAATTAATGTCCAACTCTAATTAATAATTTAGATAACATTTCAGGCCTAAAGAAAGACCTGCAATAGGTAGATTTAAGATTTATCTCTTGCATAATGTATGTTTAATTAAAACAGTTATTTCATTGGTGTAAAGGGGAATAACTCTTTTATTACTACCAGTTAATTGTGCTGATTTTCTGAGAATATTCTTACATCATTTCAGTTTGAAACTAAACAGAATTTATCACGATTGGAAGGGCGATCTGGTATTTCAAGTGATGATTTATTTAATGATGGATCCAGCAGAAGTCGAAGTTCAGCAAGAAATAATAACTCGTATGATTCAACGCCTGATTTACAAGATATAAAAGATGGTGTACGAGATGGTGTAACTAAAGTTGCAGGAAAACTTTCTAGTTTAGCAAATGGTGTTATGTCAAGTCTACAAGTTAGTACATGATGTTTACTCATTATTATTAAAACATATATAAATCTTTTAGCTGTATGTATGTGTACATATTATTTCACTTCACTGCAGGATGTCCAAAATCTACCACAGACTTTTAGGAGGTATTTTTCCAGGGATTTTTAAATCATTGTTTCAAATAAGTGAAATCAGACATTCTTGCTTCAGTATGAGAGCCATTTCATTTAAAATTATCTGGGTTGGTTTGTTAGCTCCTCCACCAGTAGAATGTTCTTTGAAGACTCCCTCTACCAATAGAATGCTATTTGTCTATACCCCATCAACCATCAGATCCACGACTTGCATAAATAGGAAGCTTAATTATATCTGTAATAGTATACCTGTAACCCCTCCCATCACAGTGCCACATCAGTAATAATTAATATAAAAAAATAATCATAATATGTTGTATGCATATGTTTGTGGGAAGTGAAATTTCAGTATATTTTGATGGTAATATAGTTGATGATGGAATACCAGAATAATGGACAATAATAATACTACACATATTTTATAAGCTAAAAGATTTATTTTTATTATTATTATGTATAACGTTTTTGTGCATTTAAGGGCACACGTATGTTTATTGTTTACATAGGTATAAAATATAAGTAATAAAACGAAACATATCTTTCAGGACTTATGATAGGAGAAGTATTTAAGGTACTTATATGTAGGAGTGCAAATATTAATACTTTTTTTTTTCCAAATCTTTTGTAGTCATTTAAATATTCTTATTTGTTTTTGATTGTTTTATTGACATTTACTTATTGTTTTAATTATTATTTAAATTTAATTTCTGAAAACATAGTTTTACTAACTTTTTATCATTCTGTTCATTAAAAACAATAAGACAATGATACTTTTGAATTGAAAATTTGTAAGCCGCTAAACAGAACATTGTACATTATAAAGAAAGTTTAAAATGACAATAAACCCACTTCAAGCATGATGATATCTTGACTATTTGCTTTTACATGTTGCTATATCTTCAAGTAGTACACAGTAATAGTTGTCTTATTCTTTGATTAACTTGGCCTAGTTATGCTTTGTGTTAAGAAAAATTGCTGATTGCAGCAGTTCTAAAAGAAGAAATGACTACCATTATAATGTATTTTACTTGTAGTTGTAGTTACACTTATATCAGAGACACAGGAACATATTTACAATTTATAGTTGACTCTCCTAGCAGTGGGAAACAAATTATTCAGTTATTTGGCTACCCCATTACAATCACATATCACATTCACATGTTTGATTCATGATTTGCAAATCATTTTCATAATGTAGGCGTTCAGATCATGTTTGTCAAATGAAAAGATAATTACCATTGCTATTCACTAATAAAATATGAAAATGGTTTTATCATTTTCATGTTTAATTCTCTAAAAAGATATAGATTGCTTTAATAATTAATTGATATAACTTTCTATCTAGATGTATGTAGTTATTAAGAAAACAAGGGCATTGCTTATTGCCTACATATTGAATAGGCTTACTACTTTCTTATAGCTGCCAGAAATCTTATTCTTTATAACTTTGTCCCCATTTGAGGCTGACCTTAAAAATATCTTTGTTTCACCAAACCCGACCCACAATCGAGGAGAAGGGTCGGTAGGTCGGGGTTTTTTTTCAGATTTTTTTTTAAGAGCTAATTTGACAGCTTGATAATTTTCCGGGTGCAAACATTCGTCTTCTTTTATTGTCAAACAAATCAATGACATCGAGATTTTTCGTGATGCACGACTCGCACACGAATTGCCAGAAACTGACGTTTGAAACTCCCTCAACACGTTTTTTAACGATCGTGCGGGTTGTGCCTTCATTTTTCTCGAAAACGGATATTCAATATCCGTTTTCGAGAAAAATAGAGGCAGAATCATTTCGTGGGAATGGACGTGCTTTCGTCTACAACCATTTTGTTGAGAAGCGACACCTATGATGCTTTCGTCTTGATCAACCAGTTTCAATAATGAATCAAACCATAGCCATAGTAAAGGGAAATAACTCTCGTGATATATTTCAGGTTGACACACAAAATAAAATAAAAAGATCGCGGAAAAGTGCAATAAAATAATTTAAGTCGGGGGTGGATTTAGTTAGTCGGTCGCGTTAGGCGAAACAAAGATATTTTTAAGGTCAGCCTGATCATGATCTTCAGTTATGTGCACTCACACACGAACGCCGGAAATTACCAAGTTAGAAAGAATAAAATCTTTAGAATTTAGTTCCTGTTCAGGGATCATAAATCTCTTTGTTTCTATTATTGAAATCTTACTCAAATTTTTATGTTTGTTTGGCAACAATAAAGGATATTTCCTTGTGTAGTTTATAAATTGATTCTTGTCCACCCAGTACAAAAATGTATGGATAGCATTTTATAATTATATTAAAATGAATCAACAAATTTGACTGAAAAATGATCTAATGAAATAAAAAAAAAAAAAAAAGTTCTTGCTTTTAGTACTTGTAGTTTATATAATGATAAATAACAAAATTTACGCAATAACATATATTTATTTTTCACAGAGAAAATAGAACCCTACTTATCATATATAGTAAGATGGTGAAGGTAAATAAAACCTTTAACATCCATCTCGGCTTGAAAAGAATGCTTTGGTGTTTACATCAATATTAATTATGAATTTATGCTGATATGTGTGGTTGAAAATTGTGTTGATTAAAGTTGGTGGCTGTTCTTTTTTGTGATATTTGTTAATTTCATATCTAAAATGCTTGATATTTTTCTGAAAACATCTTGAATTTGATATACAACTTATATACTGTTTATTAATTTTTCATTCAGCAATATTTAACTAACACATATAAGTATTTCAGTGGGGATAGCATTCTAGATTTGTTGCTGTAGTCTTGAACACCGCCTTAGATTGTCTCCACTTTTATTTGAAAACAATTAATAACATTGGTGCTATTTGCATACAGAATTTATGCAATATCTGCATGCCTCCAATGCAAGGTGTTTTTTTTTTCTTCACTACCAATTGTAAGACTGATGAAAAGAAATTTCAATATGTCCCTTGACATTGTGTAGACATTTCACTCTATTTTGTTCAGATCAATCTCATTGCAATAAAAATGGAAACAGCTTGGGTGGGAGTGATCAAGACTATTGTTGCTGTAGCCCTGTTCAATTAGACATTTCTTTTGTGATAAAAAAAATGAAAACACATATTTGAAAGTGTTCTATGTGTGTAGTCACAATAACCAGGATGCAATGTCCTTTCAGAATGTAGAAAGCAATGCTTAATGAACAAGGCTTATAACATTTGTAGGTTATAATAATAGAAGATTCTTAAGTAGAACTGTTATCAAGTTTGGTACAAAACTACGTCCAAGATTTTTTATTCATCAACCATTTATTTCAACCATAGATCTGTGTTGTATTATGGGGGTCACGGTGTCTAAGTGGGTAAGACGCTGGCTCGCTAGCCTGGAGGTCGGGTGTTCGATCCCTGCATTGGCCGAGAAAGTTCATCCTGATTTTCCTGACAAGGACAGCTGTCTAGTCATTTGGATGAGAACAAAAAACCAAGGTCCCTGTACACATTGGTTTGCTCGTAAAAGATCCCTTGAAAGTTGGAATTCGATATAAGAGTAGGCCGTAGTGCCGCTGTCCCGGGAAAATTTCCCTCATAGCACACTGTATCGCGTATGGCTGCGTTCACTAGCCCAGTTCGGATCAGAACAGTAGGATGATAAACCCTATTTCATTTCGTCTTGTGTCACATTTATTTAAGTTATTCATATGATGATACCAATCTGTCTTACAGAGGATTACGATAGTCTTCTAATATCTCTGTAAAAGAGGGGGGTTGGATGGCTGAATGGTTAGCGTGCGCGCGCTGTATCATAAAGTCTGTCATTGAGTCGACTGGCGTGGTTTCGAATCCCCGGTTGTACGTGACAAGGAGTAGGGTCGCCTGTCCAACCTCGTGGGTTTCCTCCGGTTTCCTCCCACTGCTAAAGACCCCTACGCGCAAGCGAATTATGTAAATAAAATTAAACCATATGTTAGTCCTGAAATGACCTAGTTTGTGTCGAGTGGAGTTAAATCCCATTTCTCTCTCTCTCTCTCTCTCTCTGTAAAAGATGACTACCTTCAACACGTGACCACGTCTCATCACGCGGCATCAATCACTGGCTCAATGCCGCGTGCATTGTTTACATAAGACCTTACTAGTTCGGGCAGATTGGAGCCTTATACTCTTTTTAATACCCATTTACACTAAATAGGAAATAATTTTTACCTACAAATACGTAAAAAGTCTTTATTTTTCTAATACATAAAAAAAAATGTTTTAGAATTTAATTTGTCTTTATTTTTCTAATACATAAAAAAAAACGTTTTAGAATATAATTTGTCAGAGGAAAAAAGTTAATATTTGTGGCTCATTAAATTGCATCGATGTCATTCTTATCAGTGATTGTCGCGGCCTAGCGAATATTCACTGCTGATAAGTGTGTGATGGTACATGTACACTGCTATAATTTCAATAATTGAAAAGAAAGTTTAGTACAACAAGAAATAAAAACAGCAGTGATTATAGAATTGAAATAATTGTATTAATTTTCATATTGAGTGCACTATATTTAGTGCTAATTTGTGGATCAGTTCTACTTAATAATTTTGGTGGGAAGAGGTTGAAAAGTTTTAATTGGACGAATGGGAATACAATGTTGGGAGTTCATTAAACATTATTTCATTGTCTAGAGTAGTTACTATTAATGGCCATCCAGTTACAAAAAAAGTCAAAATGGAATTGCGATTATGTCTTGTATACGGTAATAGGAATGTTACAAAGGAAAAAAAAACAAAACAAATGTTTATTTATAATTGGATATATGCAAGAGTTATCCATATAATTCAAACTATTTACTTCTCGGTGATGTAGTATATTAACTGTATTACAGTACTTTGCTCATTATGAGACAAATGAAGAATGTAGATGGCTAATTTCCATGTGGGTAAATGTATGTCTTATTATGCTGTGCTTTATTGGCTATATTGTTTGGTATCGGTACTTTATTTAACTAAATATTACGCAAGAATGGGGCACATATTTCATGTATACTTACGCTAGAGTATTTTAAGAATACAGTCTTTTGGTTGCAAGAATGTAGAAAGAATGACTGTAAAAGCTTTCTTTATGTCTGTTTTGGGGTTTTGTACATATCTTTAAAACCATATATACTATATTCGTGGATTGGTTCAGAACTGAAATCTGTGCTAGAATTTTACTTCTTAGATAATCATAAGGCAGTATCATTAAAATATTTTTAGTTTCACTGTTTATGAAAATGTGGAAATGGCATCTGATCTTTTATATGTTAAAAGGAGTTTTGATTTAATTTATGTCATATTTTTAATGTTCATTATAATTCCTTAATTTGTGTCCTTATTATCAACATTCATTGGTTACTTTCGAAATAAATATTTCTTGATTGATAAATTCAAACGACATTTTTTTTTTTTTTGCAGGACCGTTATGGAAGTTAACAAAGTTCTAGAAGTATTCTTCAATTCCCGTACAGTTTAAATCACTCCACAAGTCCTTCTTGGGCAAATAAACTATGTATTCAACAAGTTTTAATTAAAAAAAAACTTTGGGTATGGGACAGGAACATATTTAAATTGCACCTAACATTTTTGTTAAGACAATCACCTGGAGGCATAGGTGAGATTCAGCAAAGTGACATGAATGTGATAGTAATAAAAAAAAATGTTGAAAAAAAACCGAACCTAATTCTCATGAACCAACAGATCATACACTGTCTTTCGATATTAATGAGATTCACTAAAAGATGTTAACAAAATTATAATTCTTTTTCTTGACCAGTTTATTTGAGCATAAAATATTTAAAATCTAGACATAGCTTTAGTCCCAACAGCATTTTGTATGTAGACAACATGTAGGAGAGTATCATTTATTTTATACCAGTGCTCTCCCTCTATAATTTTTATGCTGTGATATCAGACAGAAAAATATAAGCACTTGAGTCAGGAGCTGTTATTTATAGTCTAATAGTAGTCAGTCATAAAACTTATGGGGGAATTATAAAAAAACATATATTACAGTATTTGGTAACAAATATGTTAAACCAAAGCTGACATCTTTATTCTGATAGACATTTCATTTTTCTTATCTCCACTATTTGTGTGCTAATGGATGAATTCATACAGAATCTGTCACACCGTTGAAGGCAGTCAGGGCAATCTTGTTTTATTTTTCTATGAGCATGATCTTGATCCAAAAAAAAAAAAGAAATTGTGATGAATGTAATTTTGCCTCATGGAGAAATAAATATTAATAATCAGCCAACAGCAGTTAGATTTTATTTAACATCTCCATTCAAGATTGTGTTTTTTTGAAAAGAAATGTAATATTTAGTAATGATGTTATTTATCATGGTTTAAAACCACTATCTTTACAACAATTCAAATAAATTCCTATTGCATAAAATATCATTCTAGCCAAGCAATTATTGAATATTACTGTTAGGTGTATAGAGTTAGACTGGAAAGAAAAAAAAAGACATAGATAACTATGAACTGTATATTTGTGTACATAATGTCATTAAGCTATATTTGTGTATGTATATCTCATAGAAATATTTCTGTTATTTGTTATTTATGGGGTTTCTATTGTATTAAGGGTGCATTCATGCTTTTGAATATTTATTTCTAAAATACATTTTAATGTTAAAACGACTGTATAACTCTGTTCATTAACCTTTTATCATTAGCTTCTGTGAAATTATTAAAATGTTTCTAAAGCAACTAGATCATATGACTGACAAGGTATATTATTCAGTAACTTTTAATACATACTAAATCTGAAGGGAGTCTTTTTCTATGTGAAATGTATTAACTCTTTACATGTGTTGATGTAACTGATATGAAAGATGAGTGTGAGATTATATTTATTATCCTAATATTCTCAAATGGAAATCAAACATTAGAAACAATATCATGGAAATCTTCTCTAAATTGAAATGCTGAAAGATTTTAGGTTACCCTACATGTAAATATTGATAGAATATATTAGAATGACAAAATTGTAAATATTATTTTGGTCATATTTCAGACACAGTTGATATTATACAGAACAGTCTTTATTTTCATGCCCTTCACAGTATTGGTCATCAATCTAGGGTTATAATATACTGACATCTAAAAGAAACTATATCAAGACTTTTAATATAATTTTAAAGTAAAATAGTTGTACATAGTTGAAAATTGAAATTCAAAACTTGAATAAAATTTAAGTCATCAAATATATAAGATGTACATGGGTGATATATTTAACCATTGTTTCAGTGTCTTTATCCAAATTATAATTTTTTCTTGGTGTAGTTTTTTTTAGACATAATATACTAATGTCCAAAAGAAAGTATACACACTGAAAATATGACTAAGATTTATTTTGATTATAAACATTTGAAAAAATTTTACTGAGTTTGTCTCTTGCATCCAAACTCAATATTTCTAAGCAAAATAAAAAAAGCGAAACAGATTGACCTTGTACCCAAATGCCGCATACGATGGAAAACAACTTTGGTTGATGCAGCATGAAATGCACAGTGTATACTTTCTTTTGGACATTAGTATATATTGAAGTTTTATAATTCTGTCACAGTGTATACTTTCTTTTGGACATTAGTAATATTGAAGTTTTATAATTATGAATACATGTAAATCCATTCTGTATGATTTGTCACCATGTGAAAATAAAATCATTTCATCTCTTTACTGCTGTATTTGATTTTCTTTGTTTGTGTGACTCATTATTTCTAAAACTCCATGGATAGAAATGTTATGGGTACCACTGTTCTGTCTTAAAGATACATTATGGGAGATTAGATAATTTTTATACGCCCACATTGAAATGTGGTTGTATATTGTTGTTGACCCCGTCCGTTCGGCCGGCGTCCCCAATTGCTTGTGGACGCTGTATAGGCTAAAGTTAATATTTGTTTGACTTTAAATTTATACACAGTGTTTAAGGTCATGAGACGAAGAATCGTATTGATTTTCAGCGATTTTCGATAATTATTGCCAGAGTTATGGCCCTTGATCACTTCAAAAAATCTTGTGGATGCTCTAGAGGTCAAAGTTAATATCCGATTGACTTTAAATTTATACACAGTGTTTAAGATCATGAGACGAAGAATCATATTGATTTTCATTGATTTTCGATGATTACTGCCAGAGTTATGGCCCTTGATCACTTCAAAAAATCTTGTGGAAGCTCTAGAGGTCAAAGTTAATATCCGATTGACTTCAACTTTATACACAGTGTTTAAGGTCATGAGACTAAGAAGCCTATTGATTTTTGGACCCTATGGAGGTCACAATTTTCTTCTGATTTTGTTGAAACTTGGAAGATCTCAGTTCCTTTTGATATTCGCGCATATCGGATAACTTCCTGAATTATGGCCCCTGATTTTAGGTTGTGGACCCTATAGCGGTCATAATTCTTATCCGATTTAAAAAAAATGTTTGAATATATCACCATTACACCCAAAGGATGGTTGAGTTAGAATTTCGTAAAAATCGAACCAAAACTGACAGACAAAATGGCCACGCCTCGTATTCAAATATCAAATATCGTAAAAAATATGATATATCAATGTTGTGGACTCTCTAGAGGTCACAACTTTCTTTTGATTTTGAAATAAAACTTGAAATGTAAGTTTATAACCCAAAGATCTTGGTTCATTTCGATATTTGCGCATATGGGATAGCAACTTCCAGAAGTATGGCTCCTGATTGTACGAAAAATCATTGTTTTTAGCTTGAGGTCCCTCTAGAGGTCGCAATTTTTATCTGATTTAAAAAAAATGTGTGAATAATCGCGGGTACCCGAACTTAACTTCCTGGATTATGACCCCTGATTGTTCGAAAAATGGTTGTTTAATTATCAATGAGCGTTGAACAGCAGATCGGGTTCTAATCCAGTAAATATCGCAGACTAGCGATGACATCGAGAGTTGATTATTGTCTGGATAAGTTAATTAATGTCTAATAATTTAGATAACATTTCAGGCCTCAAGAAAGACCTGCAATTGGCAGATTTAGCTCGCATAATGTATGTTTAACTTATGAATTGGGGTTCTCTTTCTTAGAAGTACGGGGGGTTGGATGGCCGAATGGTTAGCATGTGCGCTCTGTATCATACGGTCTGCTGCCGGGGTTTTGATTCCCCGGTTGTATGTGACAAGGAGTAGGGTCGCCTGTCCAACCTTGTGGGTTTTCTCCCACTGCTAAAGACCCCTACGCGCAAGCGAATGATTTAAATACAATTGAACCATGTGTCAGTCCCAAAATGACCTAGTTTGTGTCGAGTGGATGCTAAACCCCATTTCTCTCTCTCTTAGTAGTAGCAACAATTTCTCACTCCAGGCATCATCAACAATTTGTTACCTGCATTAAGCTTAGCTAAAGGTTCCAGCTGAAATTGTAGTTCTTAATGCAAATCTACCCTACCCACCAGATTACCACCACTCTAAGCTTAATAATAAACCACTTAATTTAAACCAACAATGAATAAGATGGGTGCATGGTTGGCACTTAAAATAGTTAATTCTAAACTACTGTTATATTCTATTTCCTATACTTGGTCTTGGCCATACTACTTATCCTTGAGAGATCGAAACAACAACTGCATCACAGACAGATCCTATGGTCTAAATTACCTTTAGACCACTCAACCCCAGTGAATGTGAAGTATCTAGGGTTTAAATTTACTTGTACTATGTAATTTTGGGACTAACATGCAGCCAGGAATGAAATCCCATATACAGTCAGTGGAGTAGAACACCATCACAAGTGACAGATCAAAGGACATGGGTATTGCTTTCCATAGAGAGAAACCATTCAAATCTATATATTTCCATAAAGAATTTTATTTGTCATTTTAATGTAAAATATATTGATTGTCAACAATTTATATTTAATAGTGTGATTTTATAACAACAACATTCTTCATCACAACATTAGTGTATAATATACATATATAATAAGTCAGGTCTTAAAACAAAAACATGAGATACTACATATTCCTGAAGCAACAGTTACCAGTATTCTCAGCTTATTAACTGATGATGGAATGCTTTAGGAATAAAGAGACACTACTTACACCATAGTTTTGGTTTGACCATATCATGACCACAGAAGCCATTGTTAATCAACATGTACCAAACCATGGACTATGTGTTATTAGAGGTTTATTAACAAGTTTTAAAATACAGGGTGTGATGACATCTTAATGTTATGTGTACCATTATTTCAAATAATGGCATGCACTGTGCCAATCATATATTATTTATACAAGATGGTAGAAAATATTTGACTGTTAAGTTGTTTAATTTTTAAGGTCTCCAGCAAGACAATGTGTAATATATTGATACAACACTCAGATTGAAATGCAGGTGCTGGATAGTGTCTGTATTTTAAGTTGTTTCATGGTCAAGTGCCGGACATAAAGTAATATTTTGATATTGCACAAGAGCTATATCCATATATTACGCAATGTCTTGCGTAAGGCAGGTCCAAAATTTCAACTCGTATAAATAATGTACGCTTGGCACATTGCCCGTACCATTATTTGAAATAATGATACGTCATCCTGCCAACATCAGAGGATGACGTCACATCTGTATTTTAAAACCAGTCATTACCTCCTCTTAGACCACACACTGCCTGCTACAATCTGTTTCATAGAGGATTACGAAAGTCTTCTAATATCTCTGTAAAAGATGACTGCCTTCAACACATGACATCACATCACGCGGTGTCAATCATTGGCTCAATGGCACATGCATTGTTTACATAAGACATTACTGGTTCATACAGAATGGTGTCTTTTACTCATTTTAATACCCATTTACACTAAAATAGGAAATAATTTTTACCTACAAATACTTCAAACGTCTTTATTTATTTTTCTAATACATAAAAGAATGTTTTAGAATTTAATTTGTCGGAGGAATAAAGTTAATATTTGGGGCTCAATAAGCCGCATCAGATGCGATGTCATCCTTATCAGTGATTGTGGCAGCCTAGTGAATATTCACTGCTGATCAGTGTGTGCCTGCTATTGCTGATCCAATAATTGTTTTTGGATGTAGCCTACAAACTGTGCTGTTAAATATGAGTTGTATGTTAGTCATTCATATTATGCTCTTGTTCACAATTTCACATTTCTAACTCATTATGGATAGCACACAAATGATTTTTTTATATTCCATTTGTGAGTAGCAAAAATCAAATCAAACTTCAACTGTTACTATGTTAAGCAATTATAAAATTAAAATCAACCAAATCTACTATGCATGCTTGCCATTAACTCAGAAATTTGTCACACAGTTTCGAATATTAAGCTTACTAAAAAAAAAATAAGCATGCAAGTTATTAAAAGTAAAAATCAACAATACAAAATTAATTTCATTTAATTAAAACAAAACAAAATAACAGATTATTAATTTACCAAAAAAGTTAAATGAAACTAAATAAAAAGAATAAATTACTAGAATTCTTTGTACAGTATACCCTAAGGACCTATTGCAACTTTACATAACCAATCATGGCATCAATGCCATGCAGATCACCCACACCTGGAGATATATATGTGTGTGGTGTACTGTTTTTGTCATATATATTTATATAACTTGTTTCTTGTGGAAAGTCCGGACGAGACAATCAAGTCTAAAATAACAATAAATAAAATTCATTTGAATAAAATATCCACTTCTTGACAATATTAATAACAATTTTAAGGGCACTAAAATCTCAAAACACATTATGTTTTACAAATTGTGACCATTGTAGACTTGCATTTGTATATTTATATTTAATAAATTGTCCAATATATGTATGTAAAAGTACAGTTAATTGAACTTTTTATATCAAACAAAATGGTTTTGTATATAAGGGAAAACAACTAAGCAAAACCCCCATCATCCCGCCTTAGACAAATAAGATTCATTCTTATTTAACAAAATTCTTCAATTACATGTTGACAGGAATGATTATTTATATTAATTGGTGTATTGATTCAATGTTGACAGCAACCAAAATACTATAAAACAAAAATCAAATTTTTTGTGATCATTATATCAAGATTTTTAAATTCATAGGGGACGGTTTTGGTCATGTGATATATTTCTTTCCATAATGGTTCCACTTAAATTAGTAAAGTTTAGTATTACCATATTATGCATTGAATTAATATTGTAATTTCTTACAGTTGATAAAATCATGTAAACATTAAACGAAAAAAAGTCAATTTTACTTGGAGCAGAGTTTCCTAAGAAATTTTTTAGATTTTAGTATTTTAATTACATCAAATTTAAAAACATTCTTAACTTATCAGGAACAGTCACCAAACTCACAAGTGGATGGTTTCATTCAGAAAACAAAAAATAACTTAATGCTGTTACTCTGCAACATGTTGTTAATGAAGTTATCATACACAATGAGTTACATCACAATATTTTGTTATACAGTACAAACTACATTGAACACTTAATTCATTATGAAATTATTGGCTATTGATACACAAGTCATGTTTTTAATAACAACAATCAAAATGTACATTACATACATTTAATTCATATTTATATAAACTTTTTGTTACTGAACATATTTCTTTTTTCAGCAATATCAACACCTATTTATACAATTTTCTTCATGCACTTAATTACGGTAAATAACTTGTCCAGAATAGAGGTGTTCTAGAACATGTTTTTCTTCCGTTTAACATTAACAACGATACTTTATATTAATCTATAGTAATTATTTTAGTCACTATAGATCCATCATGATAATTGTTCAACTTCATCTACTAATTGAAGGGATTTACCACACAGTAAGCTAGCTATCCAAAAAATATATCCTTTAACAAAGAATTCACAGTATACAATAGTTGGTCCAGGTAGCTAGCAAGCACTGTGTTTGGTCATTTTTTTTTACATTGTACTTTCCACTATTATATATAAAACAGTTGCTCTCTTTTTCTTCCAAAGAAGTTGAGTAAGATTTCATATCTTTGTATCAATGTCCTTAAAAAGTCTAGATTTAATATCCATTTACCACCATCATTAACTTTTTTGATTTTTAATTTACACAAAAAACTAAAGCAATCACATTTCCAATCAATCTTTCAAGAGGTGCCATTGGGCCACTTGTTGTCTTGGTTTTGAAACCATGTCATTCCAATGTCTGGTTTCCATGGGACCACTTCTGCCACCTAGAATCACTTTACCTATGAGCTCGTTACGCCCCACTTTATCAAAGTCCATACAAGTAACTTCTAGAGAGGCTTCACGTAGTTTCTCCCACGGAATGTCAAATATAAAAGATTCATTAAAAACAGGGTTTAATGTTCGCTTCTTAATGGTAGTTTTCTTCTTCTCTACTCTATTTTGACCAAACGACAGCCAAATTTTGACATAGGGATCTGTAATACAATTAGATAAAATCATATTATAGTAGGAATTATAAAAATAATAATATATAAATAGATGATTGTGTCAGTATCATCACCGTAATCTTTACATGAAATTTGAGAGAGATAACTGGAGCTCAACGTACACTCAACACAAACCAATTCATTTTGGGACTAACTTATGGTATTATTTTATTTTTATAATTCACTTTTTTGAATAGGGATCTTTAACAGGTTACCCTATTGCTTGCAATTGACACCTTTTAACTTTGGATTGAAATCATGCCACTCAACTCAATAACAGACCTTATGATCTAAAGTGCACTCTTTAGACCACTCAACCACGCACACCCATGTGAAATAAAAAAAAAACGAGCCAGGTCCGTTTTCACAGGGCACACTTTAAACATGCAACTATTTGTATGTACTCAATTATGCAACTTTATGTACAATATTTGAATAAGGTCCCCAAACTACACAAACAAGTGGTTGTCATGCAAGATATGCCCACATTTTGCAAGAGCTGGACAGAGAACAAGCTAAAAAAAAAAGAAGCGATTTTTCGTACAATCAGCTAGGGGCCATAATCCATGAAGTTATGGTCTGATGCATGCCAATATCGAAAGGAGCTGAGATCTTTGGAAGATAGACCTATTTTTCAAGTTTTGTCAAAATCGGATAAAAATTGTGACCTGTAGATGTCGGACAGGGGCGACGGCATAATACGTCCACATAAAAACTTATGATTTGAAATCAGAAGGAAAGTAATTATCTTGACTTGAATAATGAAGATGGAATAATAAATGTACTATTACAATATAAAATATCAAAAATAAAGATTCCATAACCAAGTGACAATTCCCAAACTCCAAAATTATAAAAGCATTTAACAAATACGACTGCAGTTATCTATTAAAAAATTTACCAAATAAATAGTAATGGGATTTAACCCAATTTATAAACCTATAACGGTAAATCTCTTTGATCTTTGGGGTATATTCTATGTTCGGAATAACTTGCTGTCTGAAAGTCGGGGGCGGCTTTGAATACATACAGAGGATTTTGGATTATTCTTCTGAAAGTTTTTCTTTAAACCTGTAACAGGTTATTCTTCCAAGGTAGGTTTTTATTATCCATGAGAAAACATGACATAAGGTTTTTCTTACAGGAATTCTGGGATATTCTCATTTTATGTACATGTAAACATAGACGGTTTATAAACAAGATAAAGTCCTCGACTTCGGTTATGCTGAGGAAGAAAGACTTCAGAAAAAACCCTCGAAAGAAAAACCTTGCCCAGCTTCATAGCCAAAGTCTCATGCTTTATCCTACACATAAACACTTTATCTACTAGCTCATATTTGAGCCTATATTGGAACAATCGGCAATGGAACACCTATTCAAATTCCAATGTTGCCTGCCAATGCGTAAATGACCTAACCAAATGACAGCACTAAGTGAGGGCCGTGCCTTAATCAGGATAGTCGTGATCACGCTAGTTCAAGTTGTTTATGCTATGACTACAATAAATATAGGTTCGGACAAATGAGGGTAAACTGTCTACAATTCCGAAGTTCATACAGAAACTTCCATATGTCCTACGATCAATTGAGATGAAATGCTACAGTTCGTTGGTAGAATGCATTGTTATAACTAAACTGTCGGATGGAGACAACATTTTCCATATAGTAGATGTGAACAGTCAGACAGCCAATTAACATATATACAAATGACACTATTTTGTCCAAGACAACATTTGTTGCAATCAAATAAAATAAAGAGATAATTTGGTCAGGGGTAATTGAGTCTACATCTGGTAATCATGTAACTCATACAATCTAACTCATCCAGGAAATCCAATTTGGAAAGATAGTTAATACCATCAGAAAGGGTAAGACGAAACATGCAATGATCAGGCCACCGGACAATAAAATTACAATTTGTATAAAATGTAACCATAAAAAATCAAATTAAAAAACTTAGTAAAAATTTACTAACAAAACAAAATTGTAAAAGAATTGAAATAAAATATACAACAATTGTATAATTCAACCACTCCTATAACATACCAGAACTTTCACATTTGTTACGTGTACGAAAAAAACCTGTAAATTATTTATTCAAACCATGCAATATCATATACAACCATTCATTTTGTAAGATGAACTGGCAAAAAATACATAGGTATAATATTACAACGTAAAGGATGTATTTAAGAATATAAAAAAATCATGCAAGTGTTCAGATATGGCTTTTGCAAAAAGATAAAGTTCTTGTAACTGTGCTATCTGTCTAAGATCAATTGATTTCTTGAACTATTATCATGCTACATGCTACAGATTCTACGCAGCAGGCAATAAGGTTTTCCAAAGTGATTTATTGATATTTTGAATAAAGCAATCTTAAAATCTTGTAAAAGACAGGTCAATATTTGTTTCTTCAATCAGTTTAAAGTCTTTTTTAGGAGAACTGGAATTAGATGTTTCAATATTAATCAGCGCCATATTTACCTGATGTTCCAGTTATATCTTTGGCTTTAAGTTCTTTAGCTTTCATAACAATAACAGATAATCTACCAATATTAGGTTGATAACATAGAGATAATAATAACTCTCCTAATTTACCCTGTCAAATAAAATAAATATCATACAATTTACATTGCTAAATATTGGGAGACTAGATTTTGCTCAATTGATAGTGAGTAAATTTACAGATTTTTCTTAAAAGCCAAGATACAGACAAGATACAATTAAGGCTAGTGACCTTTTCTTGTGTTGACAGTTATATATCTTGATCTATATGTATCTTAATAAAGTGAAATAAGATTAATCTAAAGTCTGATTTTATTTTGTTTATCTTTAGTTCAAATGATAGAAAATTTATTGTAACAAAAACATGGAAATCTGCTAAAGACACCTCCAATCCTACACAATATAAATTTAACATAAATCATAAGTCCCAAATATACACATTTATGTTTAACTAGAAGAATGCCCGGCTTCGCTCGGGGGTCATAACCCAGAAACCGGAAGTGGTAGACTAACGCCACCTGGCCTATGTTACTCCCCGGTCCGAGCTACCCCTATACCCCAAATTTCAGACTCGGGGCAGACCTAGTGTAGCAGCCAACCCCGAACAGACAGACAAACAGACAGACAGACAAACGACAGTCACAAATATTAATATAGATTGCAGAGTAATGAAACCAATTTTTGCACACAAAGACCAATCTAAATTTGGTGCACAAAAAGACCAATCTTAAATTTTTGCCGATTGATAAAATTGTGTAGAACGCATGTATTTTGCAATAAAATTGGATGTCAGAGTTTCAGAGAAAAACATATACTTTATAATACAAGTTGATGATAGCTGTTTGAGCATGTGTAGCATTATTTATGAACAACACTTGTAAGTATTGATACAAGAAGATACTTTGAAATAAAAAAACCCATCATACCCTGGAATCTTTACAAGGCTGTAAATACTTCCAAAACACAGGAGATTGTGACAGGTCAATCTCATTAAGAGGAACATAGGTCTCTCCAATAGGATCATCTCGACTGAATCGATCGTAATCTATAACTTGAAGATACAGGGTTTTCTCTAGTAGTTTATTATGTGGCCATCCTAATGAAAGAAAAACATTTACAGATCAATTCAATATTCTACTCATGTTTAATACCAGGCGTAGAAATAAGTGAACTTATTAGATTTGATTTTGCACAAAATTGGGTTCTACTAATCATATTTTACTGAGATATTGATTTTAATGCAGAATACAGTTTGGTTTCCAAATATAAAACCAATAATGTGATTTTACAAATAAAAAAAATGAGAAAAAAATTGTTAAAAAAATGTGTTATTCTGCAATTTAATTACTGGTAAGCTTACTCAATATTTGAAAGAGAGGAAATGGGGTTTAACGTCCACTTGTCACAAACTAGAACATTTCGGGACTAACATATGGTTTTATTTTATTTGAATAATTCACTTGTGCATAGGGGTCTCTATATATATAGCAGTGGGAGGAAACCAGAGCACCTGGAGAAAACCCACTGGGTTGGACTGGCAACCCTACCCCTTGTCACGTACAAGTGGGAAATCAAAACCATGCCACTTGACTCAATGACAGAGCTTATGATCTAATGTGCACATGTTGAACCGTTCGGTACCCAATTCCCCTCAATATTTGAAATAAAGGTTAAACTTTGTACAATGTATAGGGACTTTCATATCATCATACCTTCTATCTAAAGTAGGTAATTTACTTGATAAGAAATGTTCCACTTAGTTATATCAGGTATTTTGATCAGTAATTTAAAGAGGCATTGGCATTTTTGAGGTCTTGGCTGGCTGGTGAAAAAAACAGTTTATAATTTCAGTTGTAATAATTCAAACTGTCAAAATTTTATGAATCATACAAATGCTTTTTTGTTTTTCTAGGTGTTTAAGGAACGACCGCATAAGTAAGCTTATTTACAATAATTAAGTCTATTAAACATACATTATGCATGAGCTAAATCTGCCTATTGCAGTCTTCCTTTAGGTCTTAAATGTTATATATAAACTATTAATAAGATATTTATTAACTTTCAATGACATCTGGGGGGTCCAATTTTCAACAGATTTGAATCTGATCTGTGGTTCAACAGTTGTTGATGATGAACTGTAAAACTGGATAATCAAGACTTTGTTTATTATCATAACAGCTGTAACAATCGAGGCTACAGTGTTATTAAAATGAGAATTTCTCGGCTCAGAGTGAAGAAATTTGACTGAAATTTTTAGCATATTCCCTTTTAACTATTATTATAATGAGAACTGTCAGCTCTTTATCTCATCTTCCATAATGTTGTTTTATGGTTATTATGAATATTTTGAAATTATATTATCTTCATCATAATTATGTTTTGACTTTCTTAGAAAATATGAAATTGTAACTTTAATTAGGCCTACCCTAGTATAATCTGTGCATCAAATGCCTTTTTCAGAAAATGCCAACCATAGACTGATATTCCTTTTAAAGATTCAACTTTAACAAACATCGTAGTTTGCAAAGAATTCATTCTCCAATCTCGCAACAAATGTATAAGAGTAATCATAATTTCAGGGGAAAAAATCGCTTTGAACAAAAAGCTCCAAAAATAAAATTACTTCTACAACACACTCCATAAATCAAATAAACTTTGCACCCTGATTCCACCTCAACAGATGGATCGATATATAGTCAAGATGATCTAATACATCAAACTGTTTTATGGCATGTTGTGTACGCAGTTTCACCAGTAATTTTTTAAATATTAACAAATATCAATGAAAAAATAATTTCATTACACTCAAATATTATCAAAATGTATGACGCTTTCCACAGACAGATAATCAAACAAATATGATTAAAAGCCACAAGATTCCGTACCTGGTACTTAACTTGATTAATGATATGACATACCTTCAAACAGAAAACACTCATTCCAGTGAGGATTCAAATTTCTTTTTTTCACTTTTGTAAGAAGTTTATGTTTTTTATCTGGTAATAAAACAATTTTGACATATGGATCACTGGTGCCAGTAACATCTTTAGCAGGTAATTGAGTGGCACGGATTATCCGTAATGATAATGTCAATGATTGAAAATCATAAGCTAGTCCAAATTGAAGTTTTCCAAGTTTAAAATCCACTCCATCCACTATAGGCCCTGTAGTAGGTTCTGGAGGAGGTTCGTCCATTAATAATGTGGCGATACTTTTCACATTTTTCCAAACACTCGATGATTCCTCCTCTTCTGAAGCTGAACGACTCTGACTGCTTAAACTTAATCCCTGAAAATATAAACACCAACAACAATAATTTCTAAGTTTTAATTACAAAACATGGCTGATGAACTCAGTAAATATCTAGTGCAAGGATAATATTTGTAAGAATAAATACTATTATGATGGTTTACTATGTATATAATCTGAAGTTCCAAAACTTTTAACTTGCTAGACTCATTTGATCCAGTCCAATTAATCTATACTGGTGAATCAAGACACAATTACTTGAAAGTCATGGTATACTGTGTCAGACTGTCGGTTATCATATTACCATGTCCATATACTGGTATATAATTTCAGCTATTTTGTCCTGACCAATATTAATTGTAGTCAAAGATGAAACATTTGTGACTGGAACGATCAAGACTATGAACTTCTTGCATCCTATTCCTATCACTGTAATTCTCAAATTTTTACTTTATTTCGCACAGACAACACAATTTTTGAAACTGTAACGTCCATAGGTCTCATGTGTCGGAACATAGTAACAGATCTACGCAGGAATATAATAGTGTTCATGGCAAATAGAATAAGAAATGGTAATAAATTCGGAGACCTTCCTTTTTTAATCTTTAATGTTGAAAAAACAACACCAATAGAACAAGCAAGAGGTACCTAAAATTTATATTAATTTTGGTGCAGCAAAAATCAATTTATGAATCTGTATAACGATATTAGTATAGTGATATTTTGGGTATGTTATTTCCTATTTAAATTATTAATATTTCTATTACTAGTTAAGACTCAATAAATATCTTAGTTTACATCTTTCTTTATAAATCTCATTCTAATTGATGGAAAACAAAATATTAAGTGCCTTTCTGAAGCAATGATAAATCTCCTAAGATAAAAAAGTTTTATGGCGGCAAATAAAATCCAATCTAACAAAAAGCATTTGAAACTAAATTGATATTGCATGCCACTTGCTCCATTTTAGATCTTGACTTTTTCAATTTTATCTAAAACTGACAAGACAATCTTAGAGAAAATCAATACTTTAAATGTGACTAGATTTGTGTGAAACACGATTATGTTATTTGGAGTAAGCTTACAGCTTTCTCATTTTAAGTGAGTGCAAATTTGAGATATTTGCTGAACAGCTCAAAGCAATTTACCAACTTCGAAAGGATGGATAAATTTTGTTCAAATACATCTATTAAGTGTCTATAATAAAATGCATTAGCAGTGTTTGGAAAAGTGATAAAGACTAAACATATTAAAGATTCCTTTAAATATATGTACATCACCAATGTCATGAGTTAATAAAGTCTCAAATGAAAATGGAAAATATATCAAAAGAATAAGCTGTATGCAAGGGTACAGCATATTTGAATATGCATGCATGGTGAAGATCAAATATTACATCCCATCTGATCATATGTAGCTACAAGCCCTCTTATGTATAATCAAATTATAAGACAAATAGATGCTTCATATTCAAGGGGGTCATATCCTATTAATACAATATGAAATAGCACCAATAACAAAACCATACAGAAGTTCCAAATTTTATAAATAGTATCTCAGATGTCCATTTATATTTCTAAAAGTTACACATAAGAACTTATATATATTAGAGCTCAACTGCTGTCTATAATTCTCTAAAGACAATGTTACAGTAATTTAAAGTAATTTACTTTGTAATAAAAACAATATTTCATTATTGTGATGTTTTTTTAGTATTTTGCCACAGATTTATTTGTGTCAAGAATCAATACCAATCTTTTTATTTGGATGTAAAAATGGTTAACCAATGCTTACCCTGGTAATACCCATTGTATTATAAGATTCTTTCTGTAAACCTAGCTGTTGATTTAACGCCGTCTGAGAAGTAACGTTAGGCTGAACGTGCTCAGTCACCATCTTTCTTTCGGGACGCTCAAATCTACAAAGACAATTATATTAAAGGTAATTAAATAAAACCTTAGCTTGAAGAAACTATCAATTAGGAGAAATGTTTTCCCGAATTTCAATGCACAGGACTTATTATTTCTGGATTAGGGCTCACAAGTTTATCTGAACTTAAAAGTTGCTTTTCTCCAAAGTCAATAAGTAAATGTTCTCTTTGTTTTGCAAAGTAGGTTAGATAATTATTTCGGTATGTATAGGCCTGGTAATCCAACATTTAATGGAATGCAGATAACAGTTAAATATTTCAGTCAGACAGTAAAAACTGGCATAATAATGAATTTTTTTAAAGCTTTATGGAAATTAAAGAATATATTGTCAATATGTGCACTGTTACACAGAGAGAGAAATGGGGTTTAAAGTCCATAGGCATATGACTCTCGAGGGGCAGGGGAGGCAGCTGCCTCTCAAATTTTCGGGCAATTTGACTTTTCAGGCAGATGGGTAAAGTGAAAACAAAAATTATTATTTCATCTAGTTGGCAAAATAAAGTGATCGAAACCTGATAAAACACTAATTTTACTTCTCTTTTTTAATAGAAAACCACAAATTTGTACTGAATTGACTCTGATTTAAAAAATGTTGTCTGGAACCATTCTGTGCGACATTTTTGGGCATCGATTATTATTTGTGAATACAGCTGCAACAGTCTGATTGGATGGTTAGAATTCAGGTTGGCATAGAGTGGGATTTCGGTTGCAAACCGATTGGAAACTATGAAGTTGCTTAATTCACAGGCTAGAATAGCAGAAAAACGCATTTGCTGTGGTTAAATTTTCAAAATTTATTCGGGGAGTACGAGGCCCCCTTAACCTGTGACGACTGATTGGTTGTTTGGGATTTGGGGTTCAGGCAAGTCACCTAAAGGTAGGCTATATTTGACCAGATCGAAGTTGCTGTATTCACGGGTTGGAATAGCAGGAGATTTTTACGGGCAACATTCTCCCAACATTCATTGAGCTAATATGCCTATGCATCACAGGACAGTTTTATGAATAAATTTATCTGATTTCCTTCTAGAAATCCAAGTTAAAAATATAAAAGATATTACAATCTTCTTTTATTAGCTTATTTATATAAGCTGATCAATATACCATCTTTTTAAGAGAAATTATAATAGTTAACCGATTTAATATTATAACACCCATAACTGATTCATAGCATGCACATACTATTTATTATTAATGTTGTATGAGAGTCAATATGATACACTGGCAGTAAGATTACATTGACCTATAACACTACAGTGAGCTAGCTAAAGGAAACAATGTACACATAGCTGTATGTGTATAATATTTATCTGGTATAAAATCAATAACTGAAATCAATAAAGTAATTATAACTATTGTCAATATTCAATAACACAACCACAACATCACTGTACATTCTCAACATAAAACAACACAACTTCTGTATCATGGTACATTGCTAAAACTCTAGTGGTGCTCACTAAATTATTGAAATATCCGAATTCAAATAGTTCAAGCATTTTCAAACTGATTATTTGGTACTCCTTTATTCAATGTCAATTAAAATTAATAGAATTTGTGAATGTGTTTGCCTCTTATAGGAAACATTTGATAATAATAATTCAATGAAATCAACTTATAAAAAAAAACATATGTTGCAAAAAATATTGATTCACTAAAATGGATTAAAGAATTGACCATTGGAATTGAATCAAACATGAAATAAAAATAATACTGAACATTCAATGATAGTTATACAATGATAGTTATAAGCTTATCTACTGAGTAACAGTACAGTCAGAATTACTTCTACCATGGACCTTATAAGATCCATGCTTCTACTACATCATTTGCTGACCTCATCAGGTTTCTGGATACCAATATTAATGAATTATTGTATCATTGATAAGACTCCAGGTGCTTGTATATCTAATATAAACATAGAGGCAAAAAATATGATATATCTGTACTGAAAAGAAAGATCAGTATAACTGAAGGCATTTTTTATATCAGTCGTTTGGATGGGATGAAAAACCGAAATCCCGTGTACACATTGGTGTGCACATAAAAGATCCCTTGGCAGTTGGAATTCGATGTAAGAGTAGGTCAGTGCCGCTGCCCGGGCAAAATTTCCCTCATAGCACACTGCATGGCATATGCCCGTCTTCATTAGCCCAGTCGGAGCAGAATAGTAGGACGTTAACCCACATTTCATTTCATTTTCATTTTTTATATCACAGTTATTATTGTCATCGTCCAGCATGATCTGAAAAAGAATTTTTAGGAACTAGATACTCCATTACCAATGCCTACTCTCATATCAAATTCCAACTGCCAAGGAATCTTTTATGTGCACGCCAATGTGTACACAGGAACTCTGTTTTTCATGACATCCAAACAACTAGACAGCTGTCCTTGTCAGACCCTCCATCCTGCACCACTGACAAGGGCAAACCATGCCGGAAAAACTCGATGAACTTTCTCGGGCCAACACCGGGAGCAAACCCGCAACCTCCAGGCTAGTGAGCCAGCATCTTACTCACTTAGCCATTGTGGCTCCCCAATATCAAAATATTGATCATGAAATAAATAGAATAATATGTTTACACCATCATGCCACATGCAACCAACAGCTACAACACATTACATGTAGCTTTTATGGTAATTATATATATCCTTAGAACATGCCATAACAAAACAAAAACAAATAACTTTCACCCAACTGAAATAAATATGCATTCATAAAGGCCTTTATATTGGCAAATTCGAGAGAGTTCTGAAAAGTTCACCGGAACAGTCAAAATCTCTAACCTAAAACAAGCGGGGTATTTTTTCTATTTGCTGTGCTTTGATAGTTGATACCGTCTCTTCTATATTTTATGAAAGAGTTTTTCAACATTTCAGGTAGCCAATTTTAAAGCTCATCTGGAATTGAATATGTATATATTTGTGCGAGCATGAAATAGTAGATTGTATTTCTCCAATATGAAACCTATCAAATTAAGCATTTTTTAAATCACGCATACATGTAGAAAAATATCAATAAGATGTTGTCACTGCAGTTTTATTTCTCTTTACTTAGCATCTTTTAATACAAATGGGTGCAATGTAAACACGGCTCCAAAGATTTACTTTATTTATATTATTGTTAAAGACTCAATTTAGAATCAGTATCAAAGCAAATTTTATCCAGAACAATCTCCTATCTAATAAATATGCTTCGCGACAAGAAAAAGCAATTATGCTGGAGTTTTTCTGACACAGATGTTACACTTACAAAATACCATTTACTTAAAATTTACAGAGCATTGTGTATTCATCCACATACATTGCCATACAGAGTAGAACATTCAAAGCACCAACACAAAAAATTAACTACAAGCATTTAAAGTTGAGCAGTTGCATTAACACCATATAATACCACATTCAGTCTCAAAATGATGACTGTGTAGAGAACATGACTGTACCTCTTTAATACTCCATTCAAAATACCACCATTACTGTGGTTGCTACTGCTGTTACTAAATAAAACATTACAAATAGATTAGAGAGATTAACACAAAAATAGATAATAAATTAGTAATTAATGTGCATCAAAATTTTAAAACATACAAAGTAAAAGTGTTTCATTGACATTTTGTTGGTGCATTAAAAAAGAGTATCGCAAAACTTAAAAAAACATGACCTAAAGTTTACTTGATCTTATAATATTTTCTTTTTAAATACAGTCATTGTTTTTTTATAAGGCAAATGAAACACAAATGGATCTCAATATTTAATATTATTGTCAAAAGCTGTGTATAGTTCTTTACGGTAATAGAATAAAGTACTAGTCAGATAGACTATAAATCTTGTACTCTAAGTAACTCTGCCTTATGAATGGATGGAATCAGTATCACACTCCTCATTATTATGATATAACTTACTATATCCATAAACATGGGGAAGAGCTTTATCAGGAGAGCTTTTTTCACCTTACCAGCCGGACAAAAAAAAACAATGACTAGTTTATATGAAAGCAAAATTTTGAAAGATATTTTTTCAAATGAATAAATATTTCATATCAGTAAATGCTTGGAAATATGAATTCCATATTTTTCATTCAGACAAAATAAGTGATGCAGACAGAAGATTAAATCTGAAATCAAATTTATTCAAAAATATCACAGTTTATAAGGTGATAGACATACAGAAGATAATTTGTATTCAAATATTCAAAAAAAGATGACATGCATATATCAATTTCAGTCTGTATGTTGATATTAAATTGATATGGATCGCCAGCATATAATAGAAAACTAAGATGTAATCTGAAAGAAAAATCTGTATTATTAAATATCAAAGAAAATTAAAGAGTACAATGCATAATAACTCGGACTATATATCAAAAGAAGAAGACATCAAAAACTAGCAACATACGTCATATGATTGAAATTGATATAGAAAAATGCTTTGACAATTGCCTTAGTGGTAGTTCAATCGCGTTTTATCTAGGGAGAAACAGCAATTAACTTCTAGAGTTGTTGTCATGCGGTGAAAATGATGAGTTTCTTACTATGAACTCTCCCAGGTATTCTAGTTCAGTCAAGAAGTTTGTCTGGAATGTCGAACCATGTCTTATTGATCAACTGTTAAACCCGTAAGGGATGCCACGTCTTTACAGATCCGATTTGAGGGATTTTTGTCATACATATTCCTAGCATCATTCTGTGCTTTTAATCCCATATTTTACTTTATTCTCTAACTATGATCAAACTAATAATGAGATCACTTTCCCTACATATTTATTTAATGATCCCAAGACAAAATATCCACAGATGGTGTTAGCTCTGATTATCTCATTAAGACTAAGGATGCTTTATTGGTTCAAGAAAAGTGAGCCTACCACACATCCATAGTAAACATCATAATCCTCTGATCCTCGGCCCAATAAGAACTAGAGCATACAAACACATGACGAAAGGACCAATCATATGCGTTAATATAGTCAATATGAATAAGGAACCATTAGCAGTGATTGCGACCATTCTCTCTTTCTAGTCCTACAAGATAACATCAGTTAATCTGTGAATACCACCAGACCAATACCACATTAACCTTTCTTTTACAACCAAAGCAATTCATTGTCTGTTTGAAGATGATCATGAAGTGTGAATGGGCAAAATTAAGCGGACATCGATTCATCGATATCAAATTGTCAAGTATAGCTAGATATAGCCTCCTCCAAACTTGTATCTTCATAGTCCCACTTATAGCAAAGTAAAACATGCTTCATCGACAAAACACTATGCCATTTAAATTAAATCAAATTCTCTCAATCCAAATCCCAGAACAAGATTTTATTCAAAACACTTTGTGATTGGTGTATCCAAGAGCTAAAAAATATGTAACTAATAAAATCTTGTAAATGTCAAAATACAATAATATTTTTTCTGGAGGGCTCAACATTCTAGAATAAACAGCAAATATATACTGAACTTACTAAGAAAAATGCTATACTTTTGCCACATTGTGTCTTTAGTGTAAATCTAATTGAAATATGGTAGAATTGTGTGATGAACGTTCTGGGTTTTTTATCCCACCATTAATCACCAATTTATAACCTATTCAAATTTATCTTAGCTTGTTCGGGACTATTTCTGTATGTGATAAGGGAGCATAATTATAAGGTACTTGTTGTCATGAAGTTTATTGATTTATATAACAATATGAAGAATACATCTATAGAAAGGTTTTTAATTAAGATGTGACAACATATAAAAGATGTGGAACTTGTACAGTCTTGTACTAGAGTGGTACCATCTGTAGGAAACATGTTCTAGTACCATCATTACACTTCATTACCAACAATGAAAGTCTTTTTGAGTACATTTTCATATTTCTGTGGACATTTCCAAATGTCACATGAAAAAATCCTTCATGTGTAATCAATAATGTCTTTATCAAGACTTCAAAAGTCTATTTGCCACATATTTGGCTCGATCCCATCCCTTCCTTATAAAATATTATCTCATGCCTATGGTGTCCCTTGCCACTGCCGTCAGAATATTGGCAGAGTGTTTTATAATTTACTGATTTGGATAAGCATGTCTGTCCAGGGAATTCCCTTCTTCCGCATTTGACTGTCTTACAGAGCAAGTAAAGCAAGCTTGTGCAGGAAGTCCGCCAAGATAGTGAAAAACAAATAAGTTTCCACTTTGAGTCTGTTCCAATGTTGATTTAGTAGGACGTTAAACCCCATTTCATTTCATTTCATTTCCAATGTTGATTTACAATTTTTATGACTTCCTTTAATTTTAATGACTATTTTTTTTTTCTAAGCAATATTTATCAATATTTATTCACAGAAACTGGATTGGATAACAGGCAGAAGCCTACAGACCCTCTCTCCATAATAGTAAAAACATAAATATATATTGAAAAGATGTTTAAAAAAAAAAACAAAAAAAAAACCAACAAAAAACCCCCATCAAACTAGAGAATGACTAAATTATAAGATGACTATATACACGACATGTACAAACTACAAACCACAATCAAAAGATTTATATTTCATACATTTTCATAAAGAATTTTCAAAATCTTTTGGAAATGTCGAGGAAGTTATGTACTACAGAAAAAAAATCTTCAGAATTGTTTCTGTCTTCAGTTCCGAATAATAAATTTTGAGAATTTTGATAAAGATTTTGAAGTTTTGATATTGTCGCAGATCATGCATCTGAATGTAATGGACAAATTAAAAGAAAATGTTCAGAGTCTTCAAAGGTGTGACCACAATCGCATGTAAGGCTGTCAGAAATATGTCTGAGAAAACAATGTCCCTTTAAATCACTGCAAGAGAGTCAAAGACGAGAATGGTAAATTTGATTTTTGATGCTGCCGAGTGGTATGTTGAAGGTATAATTTGATCAAGGTAGCAGAGTTTAGATTCAAAAGAGGATAAAGTAGGTAGGTTTCTAGTAGAAAGATCGAGTAGATTACATTCTCTAATTGTAGATGGTATAAAAGACTATATCTCCTTGATGGAAGAGTGTTTAAATTGAAGCTATTCTAATATCCTTTTTGGCATTTGTTAATCGAATTTACCAAATTTTAAAACAAACACAGCCAAATTTTTTACTCGAGTTACTTGCATGTTCTGTGTTTTGTTATGCACGAGTTATTAATTCCTAAGAATTTGTATTTGTATTGTTTCAGTGTGTTAGAAGTCTGTTAGTCTGTGTCTATAAAAAAGAATCTACAAGAACCACCAAGATATTTAAATGATAATACAGATTACTAATACATAATATTTTTTATTCTATCATATACTGACTCTGTTAAAAAAAAGTTTCCCTGGCGACCAACCAGTGCATTTCAACAAAACATTGCAAGAAAAGAAAAGAGTCAACCATATCATTGTATCTTGGAAAACTTAACAATGCCAGTAGTAGCTGGGGACTAGTAGGTGACATATTATTGATTTTCAATGAACTTGGACAAAACTAATGGAATATACATTTCTCTACATAAATGGCTATCTTCTGTCACTACTAGTAGAATTACATGAATTTAGTGGCACTATAGACCTTTATAAATCTTCATTTTCACTCAGCTACCGGTAAAACCTAAAACACTTAATGTCGTCAAATTGACCACTAGTATTAGAATAAATAATGCGATACAATATTATAAGAGTTCATCAAATTCTTTCTATTTACTCCAGAAAAATTGTTTGCAAATCCATCAGTGACACTAAATACCAATCAAAAAATCTTTAACTATTCATTGTAATTCTTTAAGATACGATGATAAACTCAATACTTAATCAGAAACAGGTTGGTTTATCTGGCCTAATTCTTTACCTATTAATTAGTGACTTAGCTAGATTTAAAAGGAAATAAAAAATATATCATTTGATAATCTTATTGATTTCAATTATCTAAGTTTTTTTTTTATAAAAGTTGACAAATCTTCATTTTTTCCAGTTCTGAACGAAGACTTTTTAAGGTCTACAGTGAGGCTAAGCCAAAGTGTCCGCTGATATATATATACACAACATCACCTCCAAAGCCCTTTATGTCTTCTAGAGATTTGATTACACTTCTAAATTTAACAATTTCAAGAGTAGACTCAGGTACAGGTCACAACTTGTTTGTCAATTTATAGATATAAAACCGTACGACTTTCAGGGAATGTAGTTCGGCGACATGTTTTCTCTACGTATCAGAAATGAATACAGATTCTTGGAATGGATCTTCAACACTTTATTTCAGGAGCAAATAACAGCAACAATTAAACAACTTATAATTTCCTATAAATCAGACCTCCAAACTAGTATATAGGTTCCCTAAGCTGGTCTCTCCGACTAATAAATCATCTTATTAGTTGTTGTTCTTAGTGTTTAACGTCCGCTTCCACTGAAGGTGATATCACAGACAAGTCTTATTTGTCATTTTTATTATCTTAGCGCACACGCAGGGGAAACCGGAGTACCCGGATTAAACCCATGAGGTTAACAAGGCACCCCTATCTCCAAGCC